TTTTCTTAACACTGTGTTTGGAACGAAAAAGTTAAAATCACATGTTCTGGCCTTGAGGTTAAATGGAAAGTTGGGCACATCCTATTAAGCGTTTTAAAGATAGCATTGAAAGTCTTTATTGATTTTTAAACAAAATATTTACTGAATTTACAGATATATCTTGATTTCATAGATCTCAATTGTAAAAGTATATTGATAGCCACTGAGAGTTACATTGATAGCCACCGAGAGCTTATAATGAGCCACTGAGGAGCTTGAATAGACAACGACTGAGATTTTATAATGATAGCCACTGAGAGCTTATATTGATAGCCACTGAGAGCTTATATTGATAGCCACTGAGAGCTTATATTGATAGCCACCGAGGAGCTTATAAATATATAGCCACTAAGGGTTTGTAAATATAGCCACTGAGAGCTTATATTAATAGCCACTGAGAGCATATAATAAATGTAAATCAGAACATAATACATTGATTGCTAATATGAGATTATTTTTAATACCATAGTGATTGCCACTGAGAGCAAAATTTGATAGCCACTGAGAATATATGTTGAATGCTACAAAAATCATATTTAGAATATTCCTGAGTGCTTATAAAATCAGACTGCCACTGGAATACTATTTCAATTCTCACTAAGAGTATATTTATAATTATACTAAGAATATATTTAAAAATCATTGATAATTATTCAAATTAAATTAAATATATACATTGACTTACAAAATGTCAACTTAAATTGAAATGTTTTATTAGAATTATATGAATGAACATCGTTTTACAGTGATTGATGCAGAGGGATCGGCAGCATTCTGGCTTTAAACATAATTTTATTTTTTAGAGATTCCGCAGGTTCTCATGAGAGGAGTTTTTGTCAATTGATTTATTTATTAGAAATACAATATGGTTCCAGGGTTATTAAACATGGTATGCTACAATTCGACAATGTGAAAGACACTCGCCTCAAATCTTTGTCGTTGGATCTTATGACTGAAATCACAAAACATGGGAAAAGCGAAAATACAATTAAGAAGTACAGTTTTTATTTCGAAAAATGGACTAAGTGGACCAACAGTTTCGATGAAGTAAACGATCTACCAGCCAACTCAAAGTTCGTAGCCATCTTCCTGTTATCACAGTTACAAAGTGGTTCATCATATAACGTTCTGTATGCTCTTAAATCTGGAATAAGCTGGGCTCACACATCTGCCGGTTTAGAGGACCCCTGTCAGTCTTACTTAGTTCGAAACATTCTAGATGCAGCTAAGAGACAAGCGAGTAAACCAGTTGTTAAAAAAGAACCTTTCACAGCGGATATGTTGCATAAACTGGTCGATTCTTTATCAGATCAAAGTTCTCTCAAAGAATTAAGAAATGTGACAATTTGCGTTTTGGGATTCGCAGGTTTTTTGCGTTACAGTGAATTAGCTCAGATCACTTTTGGTGACATTTCCTTTAGTGAATTTCATTTTACTATAAATATTCCGTCTTCCAAGACTGATGTATACAGAGAAGGTAATTCAGTTGTTGTTGCCAAAACTGGCAATCCTACTTGTCCTTACGCTCTTTTACAACGTTATCTAAAAGCGTTGAACTCAAAAAATGAGCTGTCAAAAGAGTGCTTTATATTTAGGGCACTGTCATTTAAGCCACTTCAAAGAGCCTTTGTTGCAAGAACAGAAAACAAACAATTATCGTATACAACAGTCAGGGAAATTGTCCGTAGTATGTTAAAGACCATTGGTCTTGATCCAAATTTATTTGGCGTTCATTCGTTACGTTCAGGCGGTGCAACTGCTGCAGCCAATGGTTCTGTTTTAGATCGTAATTTTAAACGTCATGGACGTTGGAAATCTGAATCCGCCAAAGATGGTTACGTTAAAGACGATTTAATACACAAATTAGGTGTAACATTGAACTTGGGTTTATAAATAAACAAAATATCATAAATAGCATTACTTCTTTCTCTAGTTTTTCTGTAAAGCGACCGCAAGCCATTTGCTTATTCTTAAGATGATGTCATGTTATTTTGTAACGAGGTGTAAAGTATGGTATAGAATAATCATTTATGTTCGGTTGAGTGTAATGAATTAGAACATAAATATTTTCTATTGTGTACTTGTGAACTCGGTTACCAATCAGATTGGCGTGTAGTTTCATGCATGTGTTTGTTTCTGAGTGAGCGAGTTGTATTGTTATTATGGTTGATTGCTGGATATTTAGGATCATTCTGGCTTTGGTCGCCTATGCATGAACACTTCACAGAATAAAACTGTTAACAAATGCCGATAGGTGGAGGGGTAATTCCATACCTTTCCTAATTGTTAGGTTTTAATGGTGTGAAGGACCCCAAAATCAATCGGTGTTTTCATTTTTCATAAACTATGTAAGAATATTCACACCCTTTTTGGTAAATATAAATCCGATGCAACAATCTGTGTTATAAAAATTGTACAACACTTTTCTCAAATAAACTTAACTGTTTTGTGCATTCCATTTATACAAATATTGTACTTAGTATATGCATTCCATGTGTACTTATATTGTACTTATCCTTCCCATTCATTTACATACGAATAAAGCGACCGCAAGCCATTTGCTTATTCTTAAGATGATGTCATGTTATTTTGTAACGAGGTGTAAAGTATGGTATAGAACACAAATTCTAAATTGTAGAATGAAAACTTGGTTTTCAACTCAGCCAATGTGTTATTGTGTATTTTATGTCTAGGCAAAGAAGAATGAAAACTTTGTTTGCAGCAATTACCCAAACAGCCCTGTACAGTTAATTGAAGGAAACAATTTTTCTCACTATCAGCCCTATCACAGTATTCTGCACATGATGCAGAACACTGGGATTTGGCTGTATGTAAGTGATTGCATGTATGTACAACTTTTTATATTAAAAAAACAAAAAAAAACAATGGATTGACTTTATAAAAGTTTCAATCAAATGAACAGCCTAACTGGTCATTCCAAATAGGCAGAAAACTAAACAAAACACTGGCTTGAAGTGTTGATATTCACTGTCAAAATTTAAGTAGAAGTTCAAAATGCTAGGTATTGGGTTTACCCTACCTCAAATTAGTCTAGTCTATAAGTGTAAAACAGTTATAGGGAAATTAGCAAGCCAAAATAGGTTAGTAAGTTATCAGGTGAATAATAGAGTAAAGTTCTCAAACAGTTCATAGCCAGTGTAGGTTACATAATATTGACTTGCATCTTACAAGTATAGTTTCAGAAGAGAAGTGTACTAATTGACATCTAACTTCTCTGAGATCATCTTTTTGACAACTTTCCATTTTTCACTATCAAATTTTCCATTGTTCCATGTAGAGATTGACACCAATACATTAGTAAGATCTTTTTCTGCCAAAAGTTGTCTTATTGTTCGGCTCATGCCAACATTACCATCATCCTCGAAGTCATAATAAACCTCAGAGCCCTGTTTGATTGCATAGGCATAACTGTTTGAAGTGGCTTTTGTAACGAAAGGATCCATATAGGATTTAAGAAGACTTGGTTTCACTTTACTTACATTGTCTACGTCAGCAATATGAACTTGATATTTCACTCCCACTGTAGATTGAACCATGGGCCCATTTCTGACTTTAGAATCCAGGGTATCTTGGACAATGTCACTGTCAGAGACTGGAACAGGGATCGGAAATGCCTGTCTCCCGTTGAGATACATTTTATCTTTCACAATGGTACACCTGGTATTAGGATTTGATGTTGATAGGGCTTTCCTTGTCTCCTGCATGTATCTCTTCTTTTCTTGAATTGGTTTAGGGTGTTGTTCACTGATAAACATACCAGTCCCCTTTAAATGATGGACCTTTGACATTATCAATTCTTTACCACTGTAGGGATTAAACTTTGCCACGATAGCTCTAGGGTAGAGATCATCTCGTTGTTGGCCGATTCTGTGGACACGGTCTATTCCAATTTGGGTTTCAATTTTCAGCTTTGTTTTGAGAAATTCATTCAAAATACCCCTAGTCTGTGTTGCGGTTTCATCTTTCACTTCATTGATTTTGGAGAATAGTAAATTGTCTCTCATTGACCGGTCTTGTAGGGATACTAAATCGTTAGTGACATCAATCTGTTCTTTTTCAAGACGTTCAACGCGTCCTTCTGCAACCTGTAATCGTGATCTAACATCATTATTGTCTAATTTTAAAGATTCAATCTCCAATGATTGTTCTTCAATGGTAGATTTAAGATCATTTAGTTCGGATTCAGAACTTTCCACAAAAGCAGCAAACTGTTCTTTGAGGAGTTGTAATTCTGTTTTTAGTTCCATATCATTTGATTGTGTTGATTTATTTGTATATTCAAGATGTAGAAATTCAGATGATTGAGTTCTTTGTCTATTACGTTTTTTCCTTTTTGAAGCCTCCGCCATAGTCAGTGATATCAGATTTATGATCAGTGGGCAGACCAACGATTGTGTACATGTCTCATACGAGTATATATTCACATGTTATTATAATCCATTGAAATAGATCTTGAGTATTTACTGGCTTTGTTTACATTTGTATAACTGGGTTGGCAAGTCATATTGCACTTTTATTTTCACATCCATTTATTTTTCCTAACTTCAAACTCATTTTTGGCATTAATCCACTATATATGTGTATAAATTTTATATCACCTGCCTGGTATACATGTTTATATATCCAAATATCCTTCTAACAGTGTGAAAACACTCGTCAGTAATGAGTTATTCAAAAATATCTGCACAGAAAATATTTTTCTTTGTCACAGCCATTATGACCTTGACCTTCAACTCCGAAGTTAAAATTTCACCGAGCTACCACCGAAGCGGTTTTAAGCAACAAACGCCACGGATGTCCGGCCGGTGTCCGGCCGGTGTTCGGCCGAGTTCAGTGAAAATTGCATCGCTGGCTCATCGTAACCTCATCGGCCGGGCTATGTGACTAGGCCATTATGATGCAAAATATGTCATCTTTCATTATTTTTAAATTTTATTTAGGTTCGTAAAGAAGATTCTCCAACTCAGTTGACAGGTCAGTTAGTGTGGCGGGAATTTTTCTACACAATGTCTGTTGGAAACAAGGACTATGACAAAATGGCCCCCAACCCTATTTGTCTTGACATTCCTTGGTATGAGAACAAGGAACATTTGAAACTATGGGAGCAGGTACGTTTCTGATTGTACATATGTACATTAAACAATTCAAAAAAGCATTAAAGTTCTGAATAATATTAACCATCGTATACTATGCAGGCCCGTAGCCAGGATTTGCCAAGGGAGTTCACTTTTTGAAAAATTCCAGGGGGGTTCAAATTCCAGGGGGTTCCATTTTGACAACTTAAAAAGTGCTCAGAATGGTGAAAAACTGCATGATTTTGAAAGAATTTTGGCCGGGGGGGGGGGGGCGTGGCGGGGGGTCGCTCAAACACCCCCTGGCTACAGGCCTGCTATGTAAATAATGTTTCCATCCAGTCAATCAAGTTCAGAATTTTTCCTTGAAAGCATATGACATATAGTGTACTTTAAAATAATATTGTCCACCACCAACTGTTTCTATCATCAAGTACTGATCTGCATTTTACTGGTCTAGTATACAAGTGTAAGTGTTGCATGATAATATGGTGGCTGATCTACACATGTAGATATACATGTGCATATTGGTATGGGATATGGATGCTCCCATTGACAGTAGGGAGTTTAAGCTTGCAATTTTTTTCACAACATAAACATGAACAGAAATATTGAAGCGATGCTTTCGTATGGGCCACTGGACATACGTATAGATTGGCGTTTCGATTGTAAATGCAAGCTTAAACTCCCTATTATCCCATTGACGTAATTCATTTGTTTTTTCAGGGCCAAACAGGATTCCCCTTCATTGATGCGTGTCAGAGGCAGATGTTACAAGAAGGATGGGTTCACCATGTAGGACGTCACGCTACGTCATGTTTCCTGACACGTGGTGACCTCTGGATTAGCTGGGAGGAGGGGCTTAAGGTAAATCTTTTGTTTCTCACCATCATTATCCCATCAAACAAAGTTCAGATGGATATAGGGAACGCCTCCATCCATCCATTCATGGTTGCCATTTTTATGTGTGTTATTTTACGATTTATGCTATTACTGTTATTATTGAAAAAGTAGAAGAAGGATTTTGTAAAAATGGCAGTCATGACTGTTCGAAAGGGATTTGCAACGATTTGGCTTTGTTGTTATCTAGTTGTAACTAAAATGAAATTTAGCATATCAATTTTGTAGTATATACAATTTTACTGGCAATTATCAAATTATGTCATATATTACCATGGGCTTTCAACTAGAAGGGTAGGCAACTTCCCATATTTCATACATAAACATTGCCATGGGTTTTCAAAATTGGAGAATGTACACATTCCAAGAAAATCTTATTTTGTACGTTTTATTGATGATTAAAAGAAATAACTCAAAAATAAAAACATGATCTTCTACATACATCTTGATAATTTAATAAAAATTGGAATTCATCATAATTGTGACAATACAGAAAGTGAACATTCTCCCACAAATTATGTTTTTATTGGAATGTGTTCTTGAATAATTACCCACAATGCAATACTCAAAGAGAACATCTTGATAACTCTTATTCTTATTGATCTCTTTTGTTTACTTTTATATGATATTGAATATATTTTATGCTTAAATCATATTAAAAATTGATTTTTATTCAAAATAATACTAAAATATATACATTTATCTAATACTTTTTGAAATATTGCCATAAAAGGGAAGCATGTCATTGCTCATTTTGAAGGTCTCATGTTATTACATAGAGTTGCATACCCTTCTAGTTGAAAGCCCATGATATTACTAAAGCTAGAAAATGATTCAAGCACAACAATGCCTAGTACAGTGGAACCTGTCTATTTGAAAAGGCACTGGGATCACCATAAGTATTAGGATTGGCAGATGTTTTTCAAGTTTTTGGACATGGTAGTCAATGAAAAGATCAAAAATTAAGACAAAGTAAGCGTTCACATTTAGAGATGTTGGGATTTCTCGAGGCGGTCAGATAAACAGGTTTTACTGTACTCTCAATTAGTCAGTTTTCAAGCTTATTATTTGGTTGCTTGTGATTAATATAGAAGGATAACCCTTATTTTGTTGCATGTCTATAAAATGCCTGTTAAAGCAGTTTGTTATAATGGCCCAAGTCTGTATATGGGCTTATGTGGGAGTTGCCATGGCGAATGTAGTCTAGAGCTGCATCAGCCCCTGGTTCTGAATATATTAGAGCCTGTATCTAAGCTTGTAGTGTAGCTGCATATCTATATATATTGTCTGTTGAAGCTATTGTAATGGATCCAGTCTGTATGTGGGCTTATATGGGAGTTGCCATGGCGAGTGTAGTCTAGGGCTGCATCAGCCCCATGTTCTGAATATATTGGAGCCTGTATCTAAGCTTGTATTGTAGCTGCATATCTATATATATTGTCTGTTGAAGCTATTGTAATGTCTGTATATAGGCTTATATGGGAGTTGCCATGGCGAGTGTAGTCTAGGGCTGCATCAGCCCCATGTTCTGAATATATTGGAGCCTGTATCTGAGCTTGTGGTGTAGCTGCATATCTACTATATATTGTCTGTTTGAGCTATTGTAATGTCTGTATATAGGGAGTCTCCATTGTGGTCACATTCTAGTGCTGCATCAACCCCTCCTTCTGAATAAACTGTTGCTGTAGCTGTGGTTGTGGTGTAGCCAATACAGCCTCCTTGTGTCCTCCTTGTGCCATTAACTTCTCAGAAACTGGAGCCAAGTTGCATGACTCCGCAGGGGGTACATATGCAACCTGAACCATGAATGAATTGGGTTGACAGCACACTGCACGGCACGTCAGAGCAGACACAACAATAGCAGACACAATCGCAACCAAAAAGCAAATTGCCATCACTATACTGATAGCAAATCCACGGATTACATAGTCTCGGTCGAAGAAATCATAATCTCGATCTCTTAATGGTATGCTACTCAGGGCATAGGTGATCTGAATTGCAAATAATGTGGTACTCCCTACAGCTAGTATGATAGTAAGGACCATAACGGCAATGATCAAGCACTTTGATTTTCTCCTTGATGCACCCACTCCAATTCCACCTATGACCATTATTGCTATGCCACCCCAGATTCCTGTTCCTGGCAAATAGAATCTGATCTCCATGGCCAAGCTGGCTATATTCATAATGAGCATGATCCCGCCACAAATCATAATGATAATGCTCAGAATCAGCGCGCTCCTGTGAGCCCATCTGGGTCTGTAATTGCCATCAATGGAGTTTGGATTGATTGGTTGGACAGTGGTGGGTGCCATTACGTATGTGGCAGTTACAGGTTTGCATACCACTGGGCGTTCCATTTGTTGTGGTTTCTGGCTTGTGATTACCTCAGGAGGGCCATGTTCTGCATCTTCAACCATCATATCATTCGTTAAGTTGGAGTATTCTTGGGTTGTCATGTTGAACCAATCTTGTCTTCACCTTCCAACAAACAAAACATAATATAAGTTGTGTTTACCATATAAACATTGAATAATTTATGTAGACATGAAATTTATCATTTAATTGATCATATAAAAAAATGAATCATATAAACGTTGAATAAATCATATAAACACAATATATGAACACTACATCATTTTAACAAAAATTAATGATATAAACATATTCTTTCAATTATTCAAAGCCCACAGTTTCATTCAATAAATCTATCAAACTTGGTTTTACATTTAGGCAAACAATATCAAGACAAAAAATGAATGAATCAGAACAACGGCAACGCCAAAGCGTAGCGAATCCCATCGAACAGAAATGGCTGGCATTTTTACAAACGAAATATACAGCAAATATCATAAAAACACACCAGAAAGGCCACCATTTTCAAAATGGTTGCTCACTAGCCAAGTTGTCATCAGAAGAAATAATATGCTCTTAAGTAGCCACCTATAAAATTTTTGAAAAATCGCACACAATGTACTTGTAAAATAACACACATAAAAATGGTGGCCATTTTTCAAAATGGCCGACTACACCCCAAAGTTTTATTAGACAATGTGCCATGCTTAGAGTATTCACATATCAAATATGAACAAAATCGCTCTACTACTTTTCGAGTTATAGTAAAAAATGTAAAAATGACAGCCATTTTTTAAAATGTCCGCCTACTACCTGAACTGTCATGAGACAGTGTGCAAGGCTCGTGAGTATTCACATATCAAATATGAACAAAATCGCTTCACTACTTTTCAAGTTATAGTAAAAAACGTAAAAATGGTGGCCATTTTTCAAAATGGCCGCCTACTACCTAAAGTGTCATTAGACAGTGTGCCATGCTTTTAGTATTCACATACCAAATATAAACAAAATCGCTCCACTACTTTTAGAGTTATAGTAAAATACTTTAAAATGGCAGCCATTTTACAAAAAAAAAATGGCCGCCTTGTACCAAAAGTGTCATAGGACAGTGTGCCATGCTTATAGTATTCACATACCAAATATGAACAAAATCGCTCCACTACTTTTCGAGTTATAGTAAAATACATTAAAATGGCGGCCATTTTTCAAATTTTTTTTTCAAAATGGCCGCCTTGTACCAAAAGTGTCATAGGACAGTGTGCCATGCTTATAGTATTCACATACCAAATATGAACAAAATCGCTCCACTACTTTTCGAGTTATAGTAAAATACGTTAAAATGGCGGCCATTTTTCAAAATGGCCGCCTTCTACCCAAAGTGTCTTTAGACAATGTGCAATGTTTATAGTATTCACATACCAAATATGAACAAAATCGCTCCACTACTTTTCGAGTTACAGCAAAAATCGTAAATTAACGAGTTAAGGCCGCCATTTTTCAAGATGGCTGCCATGTGGTTTTTTAATATCTACATTTGTAGCTTTATTAATGTCCTTTATAATTTTTTTACACTAAAAACATATTGCTATTACAGTTTTACATATTACACCTAAATTATTGTAAAATCGGCACTAAAATGGCCGCCATTTTGAAATGAGTGGCCATTTTGAAAATTGGCTTTCGAGCAGAACTCCTACCCCCATAGGGTATATGTGTACAAAATATGAACAAAATCGGGCCAACGGTATTTGAGTTATTGCCCGGACGGACGGACGGACAGACGGACGTCATTTGTTGTTGCTGCATTGGTTTCTTCATTCATTTTCTTCTTTCTTTGTCTTGATTTGATTGAGATGTTACTTATCTTTCTTCAGGGTCCACAGACTTGAGACTGCGCATAGGTGGGTTAAACGTTTTGATCCGGCCGGAAAACTCTCCCCTTCCCCTTACTGTTGGTCTTATGCTGATTTGTCATCTTAGTTTACCCTCTTTGCGGAGAATACGGACGGACGTACGTACGGACGGACGGACGGACGGAGGCGTTCCCTATATCCCTCCGAACTTCGTTCGATGGGATAATTAGTTGCACATGATAATCAATCAAATCCTTTGATGAAACATGATGTGTAATCTGTTGAATAAGAAACAGTATTGAATGATTATTATGAAAGTTCATTTTTTAAGTTTGAATGGTTATGTTCAAACTTTACATGTGGCCTTTAATATATGAATGAACGAATGCTATTAGACCAAAATTAAAAACAACACTTTTTGGAAGGACATCCATTTTGTTGTTTTATAAATGACTTCTCTTTTCCTTTATCTCTTGAAAAACACTGATACCAACAGACCTGATCTAGTGATCCTTCTGCGACAATAATTTTTGAATATTTCAAATTACCTGTAAATAGTCTAATCCTCGTTTAAAATTGTTGTCTTCTTGCTCCCGTATTTAACAAATTCCACGATCTAATGCAGGTTATTTTGTATGTTTAAGATGGCTTGTAAGAGAAAAGTGAATCATATTTCGTGGCTTAAAGTATGGTAATTTATAGGATTTCGAGATGCAGAGAAGTGGTTTGAACTTGATAAACACAATTTATATTGTTTTGAACACTAACCAGTGCCGTCATTTCAGTTTCAATGACCTCATTAAGAATACTTGCTAAAAGTTGCACCTTTTTTGTAAGCAGTCCACTTAACGTTAATAAGATGCCTTGCTTTAAATTCAAAGATAGCAGAATTTTTCTTAGAAACCAAGAAAATCAGTAGAAAGACAATTATGTTCTTTTTTGAGTACCAAAAAAGTCTGCTATCTATGTTTCAACTGTTGCAGTCTGGTTTTGCTCTTGCGATATTGAAGGTCATCCATTAGGTATAATAATTACCAATTATGAAAAGGTTTTAACCCTTATCCTCCTGATTTGAAATGGTGGAATACTTCATCTTTGAAGGTTTAAAATCAAGAATAAAATAAATATTTTTGAAAAGTTTTGAAACTTATATCAACTGAAAAGACCTTTCACTTTATTTCTTTACAATCTCTATCATGTGGGGTACTTCAGCTGCTCCAAATATGCTAATGATTCTTCTAATTCCCATTTCTCTAGTTATTAGGCATTGTTGTCATAAAACAGCAATAATGGCAATATATTTTTTGATTTTATGACACTCCTCCAGTTTGTATATTAAGACTGCCGAAATGGTATCAATAAATAATCAATTTGACATTACTTAAAGTCTATATAAGAATTTATAGTAGCATCACACTTTAAAGCACATCCGGGAGCATTAGGGTTAACACAAGAGATCCGAACTAAAACTAAACTACGATTTTGCTGTAACTTGAAAAGCAGTTGAGCAGTTTTGTTCATATTTGATATGTGGATACTCATATTTAAAGCATGGCACACTGTTTTATGATGCTTTTGCTTTCCAAAATAGCCACCATTTAATGTGTGTTATTTTACATTTTTTACTATAACTCTAAAAATAAGTAAACGATTTTGTTCATATTTGATATGTAAATACTCATAAGCGTGGTACACTTTTTGACACTTTGGTAGAAGGTGGTCATTTTGAAAATGCCCACCATTTTTATGTGTGTTATTATTTTAATAAGGAATATTTTAATTGGTAAATTCCAGGTTTACTTGAAATACATGCTTGATGCTGATTGGTCAGTGTGTGCTGGGAACTGGATGTGGGTGTCCAGTTCTGCATTCGAGAAAGTTCTTCAATGCCCTAGTTGTCTGGATCCTGTTAAATATGGAATGAGAATGGACTCCAAGGGGGAATTTGTCAGGTAAGTCAGGTAAACTTTGATGTCTGATTAATGAACCAAATGCCTGGTAAGTAATAATTTGATGTCAGATTATTGAGTCAGATGCCTGGTAAGTAACAATCTTGATGTCAGCTTAACAAGTCTGATGTCAGGTAAGTCACAGCCTTGATGTCAGATTAATGTACCAAATACCAGGTAAATTACAACCTTGATGTCCGCTTAATTAGTCTGATGTCACAGCCTTGATGTCAGGTAAGTCACAGTGTTGATTTCAGATTAAAGTGCCAAATGCCTGGTATTAGTAACAAGTAGCTCTCTTTGAGTCAGTCAGTTTACAACCTCTACCAGATATGAATGAGTTCTATGAACCATAGCTGCACAGAAAAGAATAATCTTGATTTCATCATTAGATATCCAAAAATTAAGTACATGTAAAACTGATAATTTACTTGAATCTACATACAAAAGCTACATCTTTAAGTGTTACAGAACATATTTTAAATTATTTAATTATCAACTTAAACTGTGAACTGGTAACTACTTACTGTTACCTTGGTAACAATAATTGCATTTTGGTTGTCAAGTTTTGACCTTTTGTTTAATTTAAGGATAATGAATATGCATTATGTAGTAATATGCCTTCTGGTTTCAGGCGCTATGTTCCAGAGCTACGAGATATGCCGTTGCGGTATTTATTCAGTCCTTGGCTATCTCCCCTCAATATTCAGAAAAAGGCAAACTGCATCATAGGTCTGTATTTTGTCCTTTTAGGAATTCTCTTGTTTTGTTTGAAGATGTGATAAGTTAAATATATGGAATTATAACATGATTATTGAGTATTCAGCGAAGTTGTTATTTTATGGATGTAAGAGGGTTGTGTTGGGTTATGGGTTGTGGATATGGAGTATATCCCGAAAGAAATATAATGCTTACAAAGGATATTTTTAGACATTCTCTTGCTTCCCCAACATATAATTTCTATATCCTACTGTTATATACCCGAAACAACTTTAAATTAAGATCTTGTATTACATTGATTTTATTTTTTTCTCCCAGGAACTGACTATCCAAAGCCAATGGTGAACCATAAAGAGGTAGCAGCAAAAAATGCTGACATGATGCTCAAAGTAAAACAGGCACATGAAAATAAAGGTGAGTACACTTAAAGTTGCCAATCTTCCATTACTATTGTACCATTGTGCAGCATTATTTACAGAAAACAAAGCTTAACATGGGGACATACTTCATTGAACAATGACTTAACATGGGGATACCATCATGTATATCACCATGTTACGTCATCAATGCACCCTTGCTGAAATCCTCATTTTCTCAGAAGAACTCAAGTTGATGGAATCTCAACAAGTATATTCATGTGGGATAGTATTGCTAGAATCCATTTTCAATAGTAAGAATAGGGGTTCTTAACAGGACAGTAAAGCTGAACTTAGGCCTTTTTGAAATTTTTGGTTAGTACTAATATTTATTGGAAGGAATACACTGAAAGAACAGTATGGAACATTCATATTTCTTCTTTATTTGCAGTGACCTCTATATGTGCTCCTTCTAACTCAGACGAGGTGAGAAAATTTATGTGGCTACCGACATCTCAAGAGAAGGGGTTGCCTTCCTGTACTGCAGATGATTTCTGCAAAGCTGTTGAGAACTTGTAAAGTGTAAGGGGTCATCTGAAGTTTTGCACTGAATTCAATAACTAATCATGTGAACTGCTAGAGTACCCAATCTCTGACTCTGAAATGGCGTACATTGTATTTGCAAGTGCAAGATTCTGTGAAAACATGATTATTGAACAAACAAGTCTCAAAGCAAAGAAACTGTAGGAATGAATGCGAAGCATGAGTCGTCACCAAGGGTGCAGTTATAACTAAACGTCACTAGAGTTTGGTCAAAAAGTGTTCAGATTAGCCAGTTTTACTGAGCCAGCACTATACAGTCATTAGGAGATATAGACAACATATTACAATGATACCATAATGGTCTGAGTTTGAAATCTCAAAGAGTTCACTTGGGTTGACTTTACAAATGAAAAACCTGTTTTGTCAAACAAACTCAAGAGAAGGCAATATGTAGATAACTAGTCAAGTATGATCATTGTTATACACAGTACAGCTATAACTGTAATGTCGAGTTACTCAGCTGCTGTACAATGTGTTACAGCTGTAATATACAGTGGTGCACTACATTTTAGTGTATTTAACAGCTATAATATGTTGTGGTGTTGCTGCAAAATAAGGACAGCTTCTGAATATAGTTTCATACAGCTGCAATGTATTGTGGTGCAGTATGTGACAGTTGTGTTGTGCAGCTACAATTTCATGGGGTACAGCTACAAATGACTGTGTTACAGCTTCAGTGAAATGTTATTTTTCTATTGTTACTTAGATATGATTCAGTTATAATACATATAGATAAAATATTGTGTAGTGTTCCCTTCAATTTTAGTCCAAGACAGTTATGTTATATATTTTATAATGTATTATGTCATAGGGAGCATGTTGCAATGTAGTACCTTGAAGTATTACATTATCTACTAAAGTAAATATAACTAAATATATTTTTAGATGGGAATTTATGAGAAAGTGTAGTTTTAAAGAACCTTTCAGTATTAGTTTGAATTATCATGAAATATATGAAATGTGACATTTTATTGTTCTTCAAATCACATTCACTAATGGTCAACAGATGGCAACATTGCCTTAGGTTTCTCTATTCGATAACATGTGAATATTTTTTAAATATTGTTTACTATGTTGTGTTGCATTAATAGTATTATGAAGGAGAACTATTGGATCTCTAATGGGTAGTTAACACAATTATGCACAAGGCATTAACATGACAAAATGTCACCACCAGTAATTGGAAGTTGTAAGAATTTGTTACAGACATCGAGGCCCGAACACCATCCACAAAAAGTTGGAGACTAACAATAATTCCCCAGTTCTGGTGGTGACATAATAAAATTGTTATAGAGATAAATCCCATGTAGCTAGGATTTTATGAATTTTAGAATGGCCTGTATTTAATTCGAGGTGATTTGCTATTCAAAAACTTAATAAATCTCCAAGGGTTTCACATTTTATACCATGGTTTTTGAGAGTTATGCCTGAATGTGAACATTCAATGTGAATTTATTCACATTCTAGTGGCTGGAATTTATCCAAAAGCACCTGGGGATTAACAAACATTCTGGGTTGATAAATCCAGTTTGGAAAATTTTTAAATTAAAGTTAAAATTTTATTATCACATTGTATTTTTATCACACTTTGAAAGTGCTATTCTTAGGGTCTTGTGATATTTATCACTGTTTGGCTTATTAATTTAAGTTTTAATGGGAACGATATTTATATATCCAATTCAAAGGAAATGTGTAAAGAAGCTAAATAAAACCCTAACATAGTGGAGGTTTCAATTTTTAGCATTTACCCCTCAGTGTATTCATATTGTACCACTGTCTTAAAGCTTATCAGAATTGTCTTAATGCGACACAGAATTATACATTCCATAAAACTATTTTCAATATACAAGAATTGATACATTTAATGGAAAATGCAATCAAAGCTCAATAAAACATAACACATTAATGTGTATTATGTCCAACATTGCAGTTTTGTTCAATTATCTACCTATTGTGTACAATAATGCAATATACCAGATGCGAGTAGAAATAATCTTGATTTACTTCATTAAATATTCAAAATTCAGTTTAACGGATATATTTGAAGTCTACATGTAAAATTGCATCTAGAAATGTGGTTTGAAAATTTTAATGTACTTTGAAAATGTGACTTCAGGGTTGGGGAGATTCTTACAAAAGCGAAATCTCTTTTCTTGTGTTTGGCAGTTAATATTCTCTTTCACTGGACATATTTTTGATTGTATAATTATCAGACATATAAGGATTATATGAAAATTGATCGACTAAAACTGATAATATTCAAGTTTAAGGTAACTTTCTTATATATATATATATACCTGCCATGTAAATTAACCCGAATCAGCCAGCTGGTGGTGAAACTGGCAACTACCTACTCGCATCTGGGTAACTGCAGTAAAACATTTTCAGAATCAGATCTAGGCGACAAAATTTCAAGCAACATGTAGGGTACACTTGACCTTGCAATGTATTCCTTATGGTATCAATAGAGAGATTTCGCAAGTACAACTTATAACGTATACTTATACTTATAGGTAAATGTACAAGGTGTTTCATAATGTGGGCTTTTAGTCAGGAAAGATCTTCTCAGACTGTAATAAATACAGGTCAAAGGGATGCCATTTGTACTTTCTTGAATTGTAGCATGTTTAGTTGATCCAAATGTGTTTGTCTAGAATAAAATAGGCTCATATATAGTACATATGTTATCTTCTCAAATTGACTTTTGGAGATGCTCGTTATGAAACACCCTGTATGTCATATGTTGAGCTACTGAATGGGTCGTTTCCAGGAATTGCTAGAACCTACTGGTTTGATTGGTGTTTCAAATTGATGGTTAAAGTGTTTGATTGGATACTGTTCCCACTCAGCCAATTAATTTCAAAAATGCTTGCGGTCAATTGTTCCACACACATGTAGGCAAATCTTTATACGGAGATCCAACTGTATACGTTATCATCTACGTAAATATACCGTTTTGTAAGTTCGTTGAACTTATACTGATCATGAAAACATTGAAATAATCAACTTGTTTATGTAATGACTCACTTTAAAGAATCATGACTCACTTTAAAGGATCGTGTTTATAATACACTACAACAAGGACACGGAAGCAAGCATTTAATTATAATGTGCATAATCTACACGTGCAGATGACAGTGCATTCACAGTCTCTAGTTGATGGAGCTTTTCTATAACGGGAATAGTTATGTTCCATTAAGTACAATTTAAAATTGATTTTAGTAAATATAATAGTTCGACATGACCCTTTAAACTATACGTATACGTACAAGTTGTACTTTCACTTATGTGCGAAATCTCTCTAATACCAGATCTGTGATACCTTATAAATTGCTGAAGTTACCTATGATTCAAAGTGCAAAAATGTTTTTAAACTTCTACCAAATGATAAATCAAAATTCATCGAAGACCGATACATTTACTGCAAGAAAAATCTTTAGTTTTCATGAAATAAACTTTTCACTTTGAGGATTTTTAGAAAATATTCATGACAAGGAATGGTACGAAGCTACGAGCCAAAAATATTCTAAAGAAACAATTTAAAGATTTTACATTCCACAAATCCTGTTTTAGTTTTTAGCGTTTAGTGGCCTGGTCATTTCTTCCCATAATTGGCCCTGTTTTTTCATGAAATTTTTCTAAGATTGTTAAAACATTGAGATAACCATTTGTCAAAGAAAGCAAATTCATAAAATAATGTATACATATATATAATACAGAAAGAAAAAAATGTATATACTCTATAATAACTTAAAGATACCCCAAAATAAATGAATGTATCCCATGTACTGGATACATAGACACGACATATATATGCATGCTTACTATACCTTTGGAAACAAGACACTTATCTGTCCAATGAAATATGTCAGATATAAACATTAACATTAACAAATAAAACAAATAAAAATTGCATATTGTATATTTTCTTTTTTTTTTTACAGCCCACTACTATTGCTAAACAATGTGCATCTATTTGGAATAGCAATTAAGCATAGCAGCATCGATAGAATAGCAAACGTAGACTTTTACAAGTAGTGTACGAAACAATTCAAAATTATTTTTTCCATCAGGATATTCAAATAAATAAATATGCTGAACACTATTTATATTAACTGGTTTCTAAACTGAATATCATAATTAATGATATATTTCAATTTTCCCAAATAATTGTGCTTGTAAAATTTGTCATATGTAAAATGATTGCAGTGTTCCATTTAGTTCAGTTCCCATCATTTATTTATTTATTTTGATGCACTATCAGTGAGTTTTTGATGTGAGACCGCCTTGTAAAGATGAATTGATGATAACATTCCATATATGGCATAATTCCATAAAAGGGCATCATCTCTTCTTCCTGGAAGTAAAAACAATATGTCTTATATGTCACTGTTATTAAATACAAATGAATTTTTCAAAAATAAACGAACTAATGGCATACTTGTATCTATCAGTAATACTTGAGACATGTGTTTTTAATTGTTCATACTGTTCATGGCACAACATTGACAGTCATAAATATATCGACAAATATCATTCACTTAAAAAAGTCATACAACCAAACCTGTGAACAATAAATTCAATAGAATACTGCACATTGATTTTTTCTAGAATCTGATACTTTACATTTGTTCAGTCCTATTCGGGAGTCTCTAGGAATATTTATTCAGGGATTTAGGCAATATAAAAACCCTCTGTCCGTCTGAGCAATAACTCAAATACCAAGACTCTACTATTGTTTATATAAATGTGCTTTGTATGGAAATAAAAGTTTCGTATAGGCCCTAACCTAAAAATGGCAGCCATATTAGTATTTTCGCTTGAACTTACAAAATTGCTATGAATTATGGTCTTACTGCAAATAATGTTCTTATGAAATCAATTTGGTCAAAAAATCTCGAAAATGATGGCAATTTTTTTTTTATACAAGTTGTCATACGTTTATTTGGCAAAAACTCAAAATGTATTGGAGGTACTTTTCATATGTCATTGCAGGACTATTGTCTTTACAATTTTCCAGCCATTTTGAAAACTGTTCCAAAACTCCAATTTTGTTGATATGATATGTGTTTCCATTATATGTATAATACCACATATCATCAATAAATTATCAATTTAAAAAGCCAAAAACATTTTTAAAAAACTGCTTAACTTCATACCATGTGAACTTAGCTCTGGCTCCTTCCTGACCAGGTTTCTTGCGCTCTTTCCTCCTAACATCTCGACTTAGAAGACCAGCTAAAAACAAGAACATTCATTTATTGTGATTTTAACTGTCAGAATCTAATCAATTTTTCTGGACTTCTTAAACATGCCCCCTTACTAACAAAACTTATGTGGTAAACAATCGCTCATCTTGAACACTAAACCTGACAGAGGAGTTCCAAGATAACTTTTTTACAATTCCACCTTATTCTAGTAGTTTAACCCAAATATATAACATACATTCAAATGTCAGATAACATAACTGAGGAACAAGAACAATACCTCAGTGCATAAAAACGTTTAACTTCTTCACCAGTGAAAGTTAGAAATTGCTTGGCTCACACACATGATAATGATTTTCAATCAAATGTTTTATGACAAAAATGTAATATTTCAACAAGAGATGGCCGAATGGCCAGAGAAATTAGGTGGACAGAGAGATGGATGCTTTAGAGAGAGCATTCCTAGTGGCCCCTGTTTGTTCCCGAGGTCCAGACCCTCTACATGGACTACCATACCCCGCTAATGACCCCTGCCAGGGCCTGAGGTCCAGACTCTCCACATGGACTACCATACCCCTGCAAGGGCCTGAGGTCCATACCCTCCACATGGACTACCATACCCCTGCCAGGGCCTGAGGTCCATACCCTCCACATGGACTACCATACCCCTGCCTGGGCCTGAGGTCCATACCCTCTACATGGACTACCATACCCCCCCCCCACCCCTTAACTCACCTAGTCTCATTTTCTCTGCCATTGGCTGATCTACAAAGCTGACTAATGCTTTAGAGAGAGCAGTTCTAATGGCCCCTGCCTGAGCCTGAGTTCCAGGTCCCCCTACTTCTACTTCTATGTCCACAAGCCCAAGCATCTCTGTGAATGTAAGAGGAAACATAACCTGCTCTCTGAAATAAAATTGTTTACTTTAAAGTTTTATATCAAATACACATGTAAATTGGCCATCAGTCAATATTGTTTTGTTTCAATTCATAAATCTATCAAGGTAACAAATACATATTCAACCCGTATCTTGTTAATGTATCTAGACTAAATAAAAGAACATGTATACACATGCACTGTAAAATATAGATTGAAGATTCATGAGCTATCGCAACCATTTGAATGTGAAATTCACAAGTTATCACATCCATGGGAAAGTGAAATTCATGAGCTATCGAAACTATGGGAGTATGAAATTCATGCGCTATCGCAATACAGTACAACCATAGGAATTTAAAAGGCCATGTGCAGTATGGCAAGTGACTTTAGATGGTCATATCTTTCACCACGAGTACTTTCTTGGCATAAATACAGTGGTTTTTATTAAAACAATATGTTTTCTTTCAAATGAAGTACCCATGATGATAAAAATATCAATCCAACTATCTGAAAAACTATGGATTAGGGCCCAACCCTGGCACTTTTTAAAAAATGTTAGGCTTATTTTCTAAAAAGAGGATCTTGCTTTTCTCAATTTAAACATATCAAAAGTTTCTTCTGCACTATATTAACAATTTCTGAAAAGGGGATTGGTATTGAAATGCGTTAAAGTTAAAAAACACATATCCCATGTTATTTTCCCATAGGGAAAACTCGTGCTATCCATTGTTTTCAGCATCATTTTGGTCATCAAAAATTGATATCTTCTAAACTAGACTTTCAATACAATTATATTTTTGATGTTTTAGACCCCTTGTTAAGTAATCTTTTCATGCAATAAAAATCAGAAAAGGGAGATCCTCTTTTGAGTAAATAGGTTCAATATTTTGAAAAAAGTGTTGACATGGGGTCCCTATTCATAATTTTTCGAATTGTTCAATTGATATTTTTATCATCATGGGTACTGCACTTGAAAGTAAACATATTGTTTTGATAAAAACCACTGTATTTTTGCCCAGAAAGTGCTCATGGTGAAAGATATGACCGTCTAAAATACTTGCCATACTGCACGTGGTCTTTTGAATTGCTAATTTCTTTCCAATTCAATTTTCTCCTGTATATTTATGGTCAACAACGCTGTACCTACCTGCATGATAATTCACTGAAGTACAGTAAGTCTTGATCATTGATTTTCACCTTCCCTGTTCCTTTTTCCCAGACTCGTACAAAAGCTCTGGCATGTTTCCTCGTCCCCTCACCCTCCTGGTAGTGACGACCATCTGTATCTTGCAGCAGCTAACAACAAGGACATTATGAATAGATAGCAATAACATGAGACAATATGAATACATATAGGGCAAGAATCATCAAATGTCAAATTCATTTAAAATTTTATGTAAACAAGAAGTGGCAGCCAATTTGAATTTCTCAATCCTTAGAGTCCTCATACTATTCAGGCATCGGCCTAAAAAATCCTACAACCGGTACTTGAGTTATCACTTTATAAATGGCTTCTTGTGTGATATGGGGGTAACAATATGAAAATCTTACTTTAGGAGGTTCCAGTAGCATTGACTGCTGCTTCAGCTCTTGCCTGTACTGTTGTATGAATTCCTTCTCTGCCAGTGACAGTGGGTGGCTCGCCAGTCTTTCCAACACACTCACAAACCTCTTATGCTGAAAATACAAGATTGACTTGATTCACAGATAATAGGAAGATGGCTTTTTTATATTTAAAATATGCTATAGCATTGCTTAAGGATTTAAGCATGACTCTGTTTACATTAATATGATTAATTCTTTACTTAAACTTAATTTGGAGCTACTTATTTTGGCGGATTTTTTATCTGTTCTGAACAGTTGGCTGTTACTTAATTTGGCGGACTTGCAATATAAGGATGTACTAATGGTACAAATTTACATGGTACTTAAATTACTGGGGAATTTGGAGCTACTTGATTTGGCAGACTTTATCAATTTGGCGGATTCTCCAAATTAAAGTGGCCCCTAAATTAAGTAGAAGTACATGAATTGCGACTGTCAACCTCTTTATTGTTTTGTTTGTCCAATGGAAATACAAAGTTAGGCTAACCTTATCCAACACCTATAAAATGAACTATTACTCATCAAAATTCTATCAATTCTTCCCTTTGAATTATTATTAAGACATCAGGATGTGTTGTCATCCATGGCCTTGTCCAATCAAAACCAAGGGATTCAATCAAAGAACTAACAATATGTGTAGTAATACCAAGCACTCATTGCATTATATACCAGCTTGAACATTTAAAATTTAGGCTCACTTAACTTTCAGCTATACTGATAGTGTAACTTGTACCTGGTCGAACATATAAATAATCATGTAATATATGAGCATTCATAGATTATTTTGAAATAATGAATTATTCGCTGTCTTTTTTTTTGATTTTTGAAATGATTGAAATCTATACAATGTCAACTGCACTGAAAAAACGATCAAATCAAATGTGAACTTGAAAAAAAATATATTGGCGAAATGTCAAAAGAGTCATAGCAGTGATTCATTGTCCAGACACGGTAACCTTTTTGAGTCATTTTCGTTTTGAAAAAAATCAATCATTAATTATATTCTGTATATAAATACATACATGTTTGTACATAGTACTGAATTCAAAAGAAAAGTAGTCTGTAAAAACATCATGATTTCTTGGGCATTGATAAAAATTCCAAATATCGCTGAAAACGTTCATCTCATTTTTTGTCCTGAAAATCTAAGTTCATAAGTATTGATTAATGGAATACGGAAGTACATCTGCTAACATGTTTTAAAAAAAGTATATTGAAAATAATTGAAATGAATTGTTGAGTTGTTAAAATCCACATACTTTAACCATTGAGCAAAAAAAGTTTTGTCATGACCCTAAAATGTACTGAGTTTTTTACTAAATAAATAATAAACCTTTCACTGAAAGAAAAATTCTTGAAATAAATTCAGAATGATATACAGGTCTCACAAAATCGTATCTTTCAAAATGAATAATAGGACTAGTATTCCATGTAAAAAGATACAAATTTTTTGCATACAGAAGTCTATTGTCATTCATTTTTCTGTGACTACTGTACTTATGTACTTAAAACTACTTAAGCTCCTCAGGTAGCTAAAACAACGTGTGCGATAACGATAAAACTTGATAACTCAGACATAAAAGAACCAATCAAAAGTTTAGGTAACATTACAATTACAAATAACATAGGCTGAATACATATGATCATCTTTGTATGTATTAGTGACACACATGAGATATTATTATGCAAAAAGAGAGAAATAAAGAAAATATATGAACAATCTTTTGTCACTGCATTTATACAAACATTAGTAAACAAATAGAATATTGCTAAAAGCATAATAAAGCAACGAAGATTAAAGTTTCCTTTTGCAATTCTTTAATAACAAAACTGTGCCGTGCAAAGAAAAGTTGTCAAGATGGAGAAACAACATTAAAGAGACAAACTATGACAAAACTGTTGCACAGATGAACAAAAATAATATTTTTACTAGATCATGGATTTTATTTTACATTTACACCCCGATTTTCGAGAAACATTACACGGGTAAGTTATTTTATATATCCAATGAATATGTTCTATAAGACCTGTTACTCTATTTTTCTCTAACTTTTGAATGCTACCTTGTATTGTATTGTCACATAATAAATTACATATGTTTGTGTGAAGTGAAAAAATGCCTGTAGATTGAAAGAAAAGTACATACAGTATATGTGTTCTGGAACATAAACTTAGCATGTTAAGTTTGTTGGGCAAATGAAGCCATTTACATGTATATTAAACTCCCCCATTATATCCAAAAATTTATATTGAACCAACCTCTAAAGATATAATTCCTTAAATTATTTTTATGTTGTTAATGTTCATGTCACAATATACTATAGTATTCACAATCTACAATTTAAAACCCTTACTTTGCACATAAAAAAGAATACTTCTGTGAAATTTCAGAGTTTTCAATGACACAAATCAAAATGAACATATTGCCATTGCTTGGCTGTGATAGTTCACTTCTTTACCTCATGTCTGCCTAATTTAAAACAATCAATCAACTTTACATAGTTTAACCTCATAATTACTCATTATTGTCCAAGTCCAAAATGTAAAATAAGATTGATACAATATCCTTAAATGGCATGATAAAGACTCCAAATCATGACGTCATATAATTAATCTTAATAATCAATTCCTGTAAATGGTGACAGCAACTGTGACATCAGTCACACATTACCATCAACAGTTTACAAACATTCATAATATCCTTGTCTTCAAGAGATAAATATATCCAAAAACAAGTGGGGATTGAGATTCATTGCTGAAGCACTTAAAAATATGAACTTGCTTGAAATAGCATTCAGGAGGAATTACACAAGTAAATGTATTATGTAAGCGCATTTATCCTATGCCAAGTAGAGTTTTAGAGAGATAAGTTGGTAAGATATATCCCGTATCCAGATCTTGAGGTTTCCATATCCAGAACCTCCATATCTCCCGTCATATCTCCTGCTTCGGTGCATATCTTCCCGCATCTGGTGCATATCTTCCTGCTTTCGGTAATGCAATAAAATGACTTTGCATATGAATGATTTGTTTATTTTTACACCTTGTACTATTGAAATGGCCATATGCCCCTGAAAACTCTACTTGGTATAGGATAAAGCAGTTATGTGCAGTCGGTTTGGATATTGGCTTCATCCCTCGTGAGATATGCACATCTACCTTTGGTCCCTACATATCTCCCTCTGGATAAACCCCATATCCAAAACCTCCCAGTACATAACCCTTATGTATTGTACACTCCCCTCCATAAGCATGCCAACTGGAAGTTTTCATTGGATAACATTTCAAACCCTGTCAATGTTGAAATCTCAATTTTGTTCAGTAATTACAACAGTTCAGAAATTTAAGACAAATTTGATGAATTTTCTCAAATCTTGAAACACAAACAGGCTTTAGTATGATCAAAAAGGGGACTTTGGAGGATGTCAAACTTATAGAGGGGGTTGTATTTAGATTCAATGCCATTTTGTACAAACTATATTGTATAATGATAGCATAGAGCATGATCTAATTAAATTATGAAGTAGATTTATTTTTGCACAGACTAATATTTCAAATTATGACATCTAAATGTCTTAAAAATTAGTCAATAAAAGATAGTGTATAATGTACATAATAACGAGGATGATGTCAGCTTGAGATCAAATTAAATTTTACTGTATCTAAAAAGTTATGATATTGTCAACACCTTCATGTGCAGGGGGAGTGGCAGATGATGGTATGAAGCAGGAACATTGAGATGTTCAATTTGGAATTTCAGGATGTTACATCGCAATTTTTTCCATTGTCTACCCAAGAAAGAAGCCTGTCAGACATAACAAACCTGACTTTTCCACCTTGAATAAATATTAAAAAGAAACTAATTCTTGTTATGGTACTTATATCATTCTGTTTAGATAATTTCTCTTATCACAGTCGTAGTGACCTTATTGAAGGACTTGACCTTATGTCAAGTAAAATGAAGTGCCATAATATGGGCCTGGATCTTTATTTGGCTTTAAGTTTATAAAATGGCACAAAAACAATGCATTCAAAACATGCACAAATGTAAGATCAAAAATCGGACTGGTATTGATTTGCTTTTTGATTTAATGATGGGATTAATGGGCTAAGCAGTGGCTTCCCTCTCCATGATTCAAACATTTTGCTGAGGAATTTTGTGTCATTCTCCCCATTTATATATTAATCCTTTGTAGACATCATGAATGTAATAACATGTTGTTTAGAATGTTTTGTGACATTGTGTAAATTTATTTCTTGGAGTTTTGTTTATATTTTTTTCCACAAAATAATAATTTGTAAATATGTGAGTCTGAGGTTGAAATCTGTAAAAGACTAGTATCGGTTTGGAGAACGAAGTTCATCAGTCTTCTGCACGTTATGCCTGCTATGGAAAATTTTTGATAATTTTTTTTACATCTTGTAGATTTAAATGTCCTCTTTTGAATATTCATAATTCAATTTGGGTGGTATTTCTATTCTTTTCATAAAAAAAATTATTATCCCAGGAGACTGATCTCCAAAGCGAGACTTGTCCTTTGAATGAAATGAATTATCACAGGAGGACACATCATCCAAAGATGCTACTACATACTAGAGCAAGTTACTTTTCGAAATAAAAGAACGAGAGTTTAGAAAAGAAACATACAAATGTAATAATTAGAGGTTATGTCACTATCGTGGCATGTATGCCCGAGGTCTCAGTGATATATGGCCCGACCTTGGGAGGGACATTGATCTCTGAGAACCGAGGGCATATGTGCCACGATAGTGACATAAACGATTTATAACATACCTATGATGATGTAGACTGGTCAGAGAGTACCGTTTTCTTATAGAATTGACAAACAAATGGTTTGAAAATGATTGAAATGAGTTTAGAAAAATTGCTCGCGCAGTTTTATCTTCGATTGATTGGTTATGACGTCAGCGCCTTGACCAATCAGAAAGTTAGCGGGCTTTTCAAAACTTATATTGGCCCGCTGTCTTGTGTACACTTTGCACTATACATCATCATAGGTATGTTATAATATGTAATAATTTAATAAGGAATGCTTTGAGTAATAAAAATTGCCGTTTCCATTTTTCAGTACAACCTAAGAAAAGACGATTAATCCCAGCACAATGAGCAACCTTACAACCAAAAACATCACACATCAACTAGACGATCATGGCCAGCAGGGATTCTCATTATTAGTTTTAATTGGTGGAGTAACTGGTGGAGTAATTGTTGGATGTTTCATAGGATTCATGATTTGTCTCCTCGTCAAAATTCCTTCATGCCGGTGAGTTGTTTTTCTTTGATCTTCCAAACAAACATCGAAGCAACCAATTCATTTTCTTAAGGATCAACCAAACAAGAAGTGACATATTTAATAAGGTAATTGTGTGTGGGACACCAGTATTATATCAGTATTATTAATCCATCTTTATATTTTCTCCTAAAATATACATTTTACAATCTAAAAACAGCTCCATGGAGTTGCATCCCAACAAACCAAATATTCCTAAATGTGACTTATTTTCATGAATAGCAATGTCATGTACTCTGAATGTTTTTCATTTTCCCATTGCAGGCACTTGCAAAAAATAAAGTATTTGTAATCTTTTCTAAAATGATTTCCATTTATAAAGCAACAATTTTTGAAAGACCTCAAAATCAAAAGAACCTCCTATTTTCCCCCAGTTCTGTATATGCTACTAGCGTTTGAAAATAAGACATTAACTATAATTAACCTTGAAATCAATAATTAACTTCAGCATACTCATTTCACAATCAAGAAAAACATTCGAGAAAATTTGTTCCTAGTTTATCTTGGGCAAACGCCAGGCCAGGCTATAAGGCACTTTACGATAAAAAGTATTATATCATATAAAGATAAAAAGTCAGTTGTACATCACTGTATGTCATTGTCATTTGATGAAGTGCCAAAACACATGTAAATCAATACCAGATAAAAGAATACTAATGGCATTATAAACGGGTTAAGACCAGATAAAAGACATGCATAAATGGGTTCAAATGTGCTACGAAAGTTCCCAGTTAGGTTAAGGTGGTGTTTGATCAATTTAATGAAGTGGGGAATTAATCCAACTTTGACTAGTTTGGAGCCACAATTTTTTTTAAAATAAGTGATAATACCTTAATGAAGTCACTGTATATTTTTCAGATGTTTTTTCAACTAAAACTGTAAAAATAAACCCCAAGGTAGTAGTATATATAATTTAGCCTACATCCTCACCTATGAATTTTTATCTCCCTATTTTATCTTCCTAATGCTAGCTACACCCCTAAATAATTTTTTTTACTTCATTGTGTGAGTGAATTTAACATCTACATGTCTTTTACATTTCGACATCTGTAGGGCTGGTTTATAAATAACAGAGCAACCAAAGTGATATCGATAAAATAAATGTTTTTTTCCAATTAATTCTGTAAATACATGTATAAAGACAAAATGTCATCAATATCTCAATACAATTATAATCGATTGATGATTGTGAGAAGAAATCATCCCTTTCTATTGGTTCAGAGATACACCAGTATGCTACACTAAAAACATGAACTTGTGTACCCATTGTCTTACAGTTAAATTGTGAGCGTAATATGTTCCAGACAATACATTCAACCTTGCCTTATGCACAAATTTGACCAAAAATCAATTCCAAATACATCATATTTACATAATTCTTCTTTTAAAGGAGAATCAGACGACGGAATCAAGATGCAACTCAATCAAGGCCTACAAGTAACCAAAGCTATGAAGAAATATCAAGCATAGATATTCCAATGCCAACGTCAGCTGCCCCGCTTCTACCAAATGAGAATCTTCCATCACACAGTGACTTAAATCGGAATAACCCAGCAACAGTAGACCTACATGTAACACGGGATGAAAATACGGCATTTCCATATCATGATATTGGGAATCGTCCCCGTGCAAAGACACCAAGACAAAGCATAGTTGATTTGCTTGAACCTCCTATGACACCAGAAGAAGTTAGGGATCCATACAAGAATAGTAGGTTTTTGAAAGTATTTAATCCAAAAACTGATAAGAAAGAAAATGTGTACAAGAATGACAAATTTCACAAAACTTCCTCAACTGATGCGCCAACTTTTAATGAAATAACTGATAATACAACAGCACAAGGTCTAAACAAAAATGTGAAGACTAATAACCAAACCAATCCAACTTTGAACGTACCAGAAATTGACTATAAAATAAATGACATGGAGAAAAAGGCAAACGACACAGACATTAAGACAAATAACAGAGACATTAAGCCACAAGACAGAGGCATTAAGGCAAATGAACCATATATGATTATGAAAAATAATCAAACAAGTTTCATTGAGCATCAGATCAAAGATAGTGATACAAATGGGTTAAATAGACATACAAGCTATTTAGAGGCTATAAATATTAAAGATGATCATTTTGGCGATCTAGAAAATGATTCTTGCAAATTAGAGCATGTTTCAGGAAAAACTGATCATGCTTCTGGCAATCTTGAGAATGGTTCCAGGAAAACTGATTATGTCACTGGCAATCCAGAGCACGGTTCTTGGAAAAGTGATTATGTCACTGGCAATCCAGAGCATGGTTCTTGGAAAAGTGATTATGTCACTGGCAATCCAGAGCATGATTCTGGGAAAAGTGATTATGTCACTGGCAATCCAGAGCATGGTTCCCAGAAAACAGATCATGCTTCTGGCAATTTAGTGAATGGTTCTGGTCGAGTTAAAAATACAACTGGCAAAAATATTGTTGTTGATAAATATGTCAATAAACAAAATAAAAAAGCTGATCATCCATACAAAAATGTCATAAATCCTTTTTTGATGAATCCCTCGTTTGGGAAATCAGATAGTTTACCTCGTAGCATATACACAAAGTCAAAACAAGATGGACAAGATAAAAAATCAAAACCACAAGGGGCAAAACCAAAAGTCGCTAAAAAACCATCACAAGAAAAGCTGGACGAAATTTCACGTAAAACTCATCGCTCAGAGAGTGATCTAGGACCACAAACAAAAAATGTCAAAAGATTGCCTATGCATAGAAGTCAATCAGAAAGTTCATCTGAACCTAAACCATTAAGTTTAGCACCATTAGAAGGTGTACCATCTCAAGATGCTTTTGTAGAATGTGTTAAACCACTAACAAGTGTAACTCGGCAAAAAAATGTGAAACCACCTGTTGCAAGTGTGGCACCAGAAACAAAGGTGATACCAGTAAAAAGTGTGAAACCACCTGTTGCAAGTGTGGCACCAGAAACAAAGGTGACACCAGTAAAAAGTGTGAAACCACCTGTTGCAAGTGTGGCACCAGAAACAAAGGTGACACCAGTAAAAAGTGTGAAACCACCTGTTGCAAGTGTGGCACCAGAAACAAAGGTGACACCAGTAAAAAGTGTGAAACCACCTGTTGCAAGTGTGGCACCAGTAACAAAGGTGACACCAGTAAAAAGTGTGAATCCACCTGTTGCAAGTGTGGCACCAGAAACAAAGGTGACACCAGTAGAAAGTGTGATACCACAAACAGGTGTGGCACAAACAGAAACTGTAACAACTGTTGCAAGTGTGGCACCATTAGCAAATGTGACAACAGTAACACATGTAACAGGAACTGTTACATCACTAAAGGGTGTGACACCACTAGTAAATAGTGGAGTACAAGTAATTCCTCTCATTAGTGTAACACCTCCCGAGAGTACACAGCTTCAGACTCCCAGAAATACAAATTCAACAGGGGGTTATGAAAGATTAGGAAATTATGAGCAACATGTACCGAGAAATGTTGAATATGAGAGGTTAAATCAAACTTAAAAACATTGCACGGGTTCTAAGCAGACCTCATGGTATTCATCCTCCTAAGCAGGTATCCAGAATCAGTACCTCCTTCTTCCCCCTGCTATAAGCAATTTGGAAGCGCCAGATTAAACTGAATCCAGTGAGCTAATTATGCTAATTATCTGTCACAGTGTTGCGACAGCCAATCAGATTGCAAGTTCTTAATTGGGGAAATGCTAACTGCTTATCGCAGGGATTAAAAAGAAAGAATATATTCTTGATTTTGAAGCCCTGTGATCGGAGGATGCATGGTATTATGATATCTGGTTAATACCTGTGATGTTGTCTTTATAGTTGCCTATCTTAAGTGTTCATGTAAATATATTTTGTAAATAGCATTATTATATTTTATCTAGATTATCATTTATTTATCTCATACGTATCATGAGGTTAAAAAACATTTAAATTATATACAGTTTGTTGTTTTTTGAAATGAAACCAAGCCTAACCAGGCTTGGGTAAAGAAAACAAAGACCTAAAATTGTTAAATTCATCTACATGGACTTGTACAAAATAATATTGTATTGATGTATTGACTTTTAATGATCCTGTATTTAGAATTTTCAATACACAACATTTTGAGTTTCAGAGAATTTTGTACAGCCAGTTCAGGGTGATCCAAAACTTGAGAAAGTTATTCCAAAATAAGAGTCTTCCATTTTTGGGACACCCTGTTTAAAACATTCTCTTACATCTCTGCCAAGTACACTTCCTTTTAAAGTAGTGCAAACTGTTTGTATATATTTTAATCACTGAATACGAATAAAATGCTTCAGTACAAAATGTATAATGTGCAATAAAATGGGAATATTTGTAGGTATTTGAAGAATTTGATTAGTATATAAACAATTATCAATTTCCTGCTTTAATTAAAGGCTGTATATAACAACAATAACTAGTCTATAAATATATATTCTAATCTATTTTTGGACTTGATGTTGTAATTTCTGTATATAGTGAAATATTTTGTACAGATTTGTCTTGTCTATATATGATCTCCTATACATGTACAGTTCTGTATGTACTAATCAATATGTGTTAAACTGTACACGTATCATCTATGTGATCTCCTGTACATATGCAGCTTTATATGTACCAATCAACATGCGTTAACTGTACATTTATCATAAATAAGTGATCTGTACATATACAGCTTCATATGTATCAATCAACCTGTGTTATACTGTATGTATCATCAATAATGTGATCTGTACATGTACAGCTTCATATGTACCAATTAACATGTGTTTTACTGTATGTATCATCAATAATGTGACCTGTACATGTACAGCTTTATATGTACCAATTAACATGTGTTTTACTGTATGTATCATCAATAATGTGATCTGTACATGTACAGCTTCATATGTACCAATTAACATGTGTTTTACTGTATGTATCATCAATAATGTGATCTGTACATGTACAGCTTTATATGTACCAATTAACATGTGTTTTACTGTATGTATCATCAATAATGTGATCTGTACATGTACAGCTTTATATGTACCAATTAACATGTGTTTTACTGTATGTATCATCAATAATGTGATCTGTACATGTACAGCTTCATATGTACCAATTAACATGTGTTTTACTGTATGTATCATCAATAATGTGATCTGTACATGTACAGCTTTATATGTACCAATTAACATGTGTTTTACTGTATGTATCATCAATAATGTGATCTGTACATGTACAGCTTCATATGTACCAATTAACATGTGTTTTACTGTATGTATCATCAATAATGTGATCTGTACATGTACACCTTTATATGTACCAATCAACATGTGTTATACTGTAGATGTATCATATATGTGATCTCCTAGATACACAGCTTTATATGTAACAATTAACATATGAATTGTGAATGTTAAGTGCAACAAATAAATTATTAAATAATGAATACATGATTCTGTTTCCTGCCTCATACCCTAACTGTAGTATATAGATGAGGAACACTGAGTTCTCAATATATCCTCACTGTTCACAAAAGAGAGCTTTCGATATAAGTTATTTGGAATATGTACATTTATTCCATGTTGGTGAAATTCCCTGCAATCTGATTGGTGCACGTGGCTTAAATATATCCTGTATTTACACGCACATCCCACTAAGCGTTGGATACAGAGTGAAAAAGACATCAGCGTTGGGATACGGTCTAGTATCCCAACGCCCCAGATTTCCATCCAGGATATGACTATTACTGAAAAAAATCAATGGTGATCAGTTTACATCAACGAATGCTAATATTTGCATTTTGCTAGAAATATCTGATTTGAATATCAGGAAATGATACGGTGATCATCACAATTTATAATTTTAGAATAAAAAACACACATCTGTGAATATAAAAAGATCAAAATGAAGCATGCACATTGTTTTCATGAACTAGTAAAAAATGTTAAAATCCAATATGGCAGACGAAAGTTGAAAAAACGTTTCGCTACACTGCACTTCAAGCTGATGAAATTGAAGAAAAAAGGAAGAAAATCAAATGTCTCCGGCCCCAAGCCAAGGGACTTGATTTAGGCAAGTTTTATATGGGTAATCATGGAACAAAAACGTTATTCAGTGATTTCTCGTGAAATACAGAAAATATTCTTCCCTTGAACGTCTGTATTTCACTCTGCTAGCGCATCATGAAATACAACCTTCTCGGGAAGAATATTTTCTGTATTTCACTCGAATCATTGAATAACTTATAGTATTAGTCAAGTATAGCACTAAGGAAGAACTCTGGAAACGAAGATAGGGTGCTTTCATCCTTCAAATGACAACAAAATATTCAGCAAGAAGTTTGCGAGTTCCCGTTTCAAAATATGATTACAACTAGAAATTAATTCTGCCATTGCTGGGATATTCACAAATCAATTCCCCTCAATTAGGAAACATTTTTCTAATGAAATGTTCTTTCCTAGTTTCTTTTATATCGAAAGCTCTCTATAATCCCCCAAGTACTTACATCTAGTGGGGTGAGCTTCTCTATGGTGACTTTCTCTAGGTCTGCAAGAGTTAACCACCTACTGCCACCTATTTGCCTGGAATATGAAACACATACTAGTGCAGTCAGAATGAGGGTTTAGGCGTGCGTTCAGAGGGATTTTATGGGACATCATTTTTCATGTTGCTAGTATGATTTTACATATTTGTATGGATTATTAGATCTTAGTTTTTCAGCTTTTAGATTTTGTGGCCATTTTACCCCCCATGGGCTATAATTTGGACCCCTACTATAAAATTGGACTGGAACTCCAAAAATACTCAGTGGAATGTATCCAAATTACTTGGATATATTGGTATGGGCTAACTGAATATATGATAAAAATTTCATGTCACGTGGTTAAGCGGTTGCCATGAAAACAGATAAAACATACCCTTCAGGTGTTGATTTTCAGGCCATTTTTCAGAAATGATAGAGTCATTTCATGCATATTTTGTCACCATTGTGTTAGGAAGGGTTAAAGTATGAATAGAAAACTTCTATAATATATTAGCAACAATCTTATATAAAGATTAGTTCACAGGATTTCAGATTTCGGCCTTATATGGGTCCATGATTTATACAGGGGTCTATTTCACAGACTCGAACCCCCACATTAGATGGATGCTATAACTTTTGAAATAATGGAGATACATGTCTCATTTTTTCAGATCTTCATAAATGGTTGGTTTTAAGTATTATATTATACTTTGGGAGCTGGTATGTGATTGGTTGCCATGGTAACCAAGGTTTTATGGAAATTCGGACCCCACATTGGATGGATGCTATAACTTTTGAAATAAGGGAGATACAGATCTCATTTTTTCAGATCTTCATAAATGGTTGGTTTTAAGTATTGTATTATACTTTGGGAGCTGGTATGTGATTGGTTGCTATGGTAACCAAGGTTTTATGGAAATTCGGACCCCCACATTGGATGGATGCTATAACTTTTGAAATAAGGGATATACATGTCTCATTTTTTCAGATCTTAGACAATGATTGATTTTAAGGATTGATTCAGACTTTGGGAGCTGGTATTTGATTGGTTACCATCAGTGTATGCCCTAAGGATTCCAGAGCTGCTGGTCAAAATGGCATTACTGACCAGTTGCAATGTTATTTTCCTATACCTAGTGAAAAAATCAACTGGTCAGTATCAAAAGTAACCAGATAATGACCAGCTGTCCGACGCTTAAGGCGTGCCCTGGTTACCATGGTAATCAGGGTTTTGTTGAAATTCAGACCTCCACAACTGATAAACGCTATACTTATACAGGCAGATACAAATATCATCTTTTCAGATATAAGATAATAATGAAATGTGTATATTGTATTAGACTTTGGAAGTTAGGATTTACATGGTTGCCATGGTAACCATGTTTCATTTTCATGGTAACTGCCATTTTTGTTTTTAGATTCACCTTCATTCTAAATAGGTCAATACATGATATGAAATACCAAATTGCCATTTTATTCTTAATTTTGGGATTTTTTCTATTTTATATGATTTACATGCTCATTAATACTAGAGAGGCAAAAATTGTTTGGCTCATAAAATATCAAATACTAGTAAACAATACATGTATATTTATATCTGACAATATTGCCTCATTCCATACTACTAGTTCTCACAAATATTCTGACTCCTAACTTGTTCATTTTTACTCATCATTACTGTTTTCATTTTGCACAATTGCCTCTTGATTTAAATATCAACCGTTTCTGTTGAAATAAAGGTTTGTTTTGACCATTCTGGAGTTGAGGATCCTCAGGGGATTTAGTACATTCATGCAGTATTGGGCTTGGCAGAATGGGTTAAGACTGGTCCCTGGGGTTTCACTGTATATAAAATTTGGCTGGGGTCCTAGGCTGAACCCTCAGATATCAATATGTTCCCATACCAATCTGTCAAATTTGAATGTATTTCCATACCAACCAAAGTAATGCCCAAAAGTCATACCAAATGCCCAAATATAGGATCAATGCAATATCCAGATATAGAAACATGGCCATTCAAAATGTCTAATGCCCTGAGAAGAAGGTAGACCTTTGAGGAAAACAACCAAAAACAACTTCACATTATAAAGGATATATACTAGACCAATGCCATACCACAAGTGAGGGGTAACATATTTTCGAATACCATTCTCATACCAGTAAGTGGAAAAATCGGACCATTGCCATACCTCAAGTCATAATTTGGAGGGCATTCTCATATCAGATCTTAAAAGGAGTAGAGTCACTATGGAGAGCTTTTTTAGAAGGACACAACTATTTTATTCTGGAAGTGATCATAATGAAACTTTAACATACTTTTAGAAATGAGGTGAATTCAGAGATCCTAATATATTATTCTCAAATTATTAAAACGTGGGTTTGTTGAACGTTTTTTGTGAAGAGTTCATCATTGACTCCAAAGTAATTCATTGCATTACATTAGCTGCTATGTAGAATATCTTCCACCTAACTATTGAATGATTGCTCACTTCAACATTTAGGATTTGTCATTCATCCTCTTCAAATTTCTATATTGTTTCCTATTATGAAGAAAACAACTTTAAGAACCTCAACTGATGTGAACTCTGTCCCATTAGATGTCAGAAGCTCAACCAAACCTCTTTAGCTGCAAACTTAGAACGAAGTACTGTGTGAAGCCATATTAGCCTTCAATGCATTACGGATCTGAATGATGAGGGCAGTACTGTTTTGGAGAATATCTTATGTGAAACAGCTCATATCGTAATTTATTGATGTCAGTTACAAATGTATTCTTGTAATTCTGCTGTTCTTTTGCATGTGAACAATTCAACTTTGGATTTTATTGTTACTGGATCTGATCAAAAGTAAAATAAATCAACTGAAACTGAAGACAAGCAATTCTTGTTGTTTCCTTCAATAGGAAACAATATAGGAATTCCTGATACCATAAAATCCAAAGTTGAATTGTTCACCTGCAAAAGTACAGCTGAATTACAAAAAATAACTGCCACTAATAGATTACGAGATGAGCTGTTTCACATGAGATACTAGTATTCTCAAAAACAGAACAGTGCTGCCCTCACTTATGAAGGTGTTGACATTTCAACTCTTTCACATTTGGAGAGGGTGAATTATCAAACCTGTGTATGGAAACATTCCCACCAGCCTAAACCCAGCTCTACCAAACCAAACACTGCATGAATGAATTATGAATTCCCCGAGGAATCCTTAACACCCCAATGGTCAATAGAATCCTTCCTTGTTGAAATTGTTGATATTTTAAATTAAGAGACCATTGTGACCATTGACCAGAACTAGTACAATGGAATGAGGCAATACTGTCAGACATACATGTACAAATGCTGAAATTAAGAGTAAAATGATAATTTTGAGCAATTTTGCGTTCTATGTTGTGTCTTGACCATTCTCAAATGAAGGTAAATCTGAAATCCAAAATGAAGTTTCCATGACAATGAAACATGGTTATCATGGCAACCAAGTAAATTGTAACCTCCAAAGTCTGACACAAGACACAAGTCTAATTATCTTTTAAGTTCTGAAAAGCTGATATCTGTATCTGCTTGAATTCAAAAGTTATACCATTTATCAATTGTGGAGGTCTGAATTTCAATAAAACCCTAGTTACCATGGTAACCAATCAAAATTCAGCTCTCAAAGTCTGATTTAATACTTAAAATCAATTATTGTCTAAGATCTGAAAAATGAGACATGTATCACCCTTATTTCAAAAGTTATAGCATCCATCCAATGAGGGGGTCAGAATTTCCCTAAAACCCTGGTTACCATGGCAACCAATCATATACCAGCTCCCAAAGTATAATACAATACTTAAAACCAGCCTTTTATGAAGATCTGAAAAAATGAGACCTGTATCTCCCTTATTTCAAAAGTTATAGCATCCATCCAATGTGGGGGTTCGAATCTGTGAAATAGGCCCCTGTATAAATCATGGACCCATATAAGGCCAAAATCTGAGATTCTGTGGACTGATCTTTACATAAGATTGTTGATAACATATTATAGATGTTTTCTATTTACACTTCAACCCTTCCTAACACACTGGTGACAAAATATGCACAAAATGACTCTATCATTCCTGAAAAATTGGCCTGAAAATTGACACCCGAAGGGTATGTTTTATCCATTTCCATGGCAACCACTTAACCATGTGACTTGAAATTTTTATCATAAATTCAATTAGCCCATACCAATATGCCATAGCATTTTAGATACATTCCACTAAGTATTTTTTGAGTTCTTGCCTAATTTTTATAGTAGGGGTCCAAATTATAGCCCATGGGGGGTGAAATGGGCACAAAATCTAAAAGCTGAAAAACTAGGATCTAATAATTCATACAAATATGTGAAATCATACAAGCAACATGAAAAATTATGTCCCGTAAAATCCCTCTGAACGCACGCATTTCAGCTCATTCTGACTGCACTATACCATAAACAGTACAATAATCTTATTTCATTATCACAAATTTCATTATCACAAAAAATCATTATTACAAAAAATCATTATCACAAAAGCCTCTGATTTAAGATCTGAACTCTGGTCCAATTGAACTCTGATCACAAAACTGATGGCTATAACAATGGTGCTTTTTGGTGCTGACATGAAAAGAAGAGATCGTTACAAGGTGATTTAACCAAAACTTGAAGACGTCAATGACATATCTGCTCAAAATCTGAAGTGATTAAATTTTGTTATTGTATGCATCAGCAACAACTATCAGAAGGTATGAAGTCATTCTTACATTTCAACACTTTTGTTTTAGTTGCAAAAATGATGAATCATGGATTGTGTTATTAATGAAATGATTCTGTCATCATATATCAATGTTCGACTTAACAGTAGTTAGACTATAAAAATAAATTTTAGAATTCATGTAATTTGAAGTCAATTGTTGTAAATTACAAAACTAGACAACAGCAATGCCAAAGCGTAGCAAATCCCATCGAACAGCCATGGCTGGAAGCATAGAGCAAAAATGGGAGCCATTTTTCAAATTGGCCTCCTTCTACCAAAAGTGTCATTAGACAGTGTGCCATGCTTATAGTATTTATTGTAAATTTTTTATATGGGGACATTGAAATGCCGGAAGGCGATTTGCCCCAAGCCTGTCTTTTCATTGTGTATTTGTTTGTATTTATGAAACAAACCTATTGATTAAAAAAATAGTATTCATATACCAAATATGAACAAAATCGCTCCACTACTTTTCGAGTTATAGTAAAATACGTTTATATGGTAGCCATTTTGAAAATTCTTCCAAGTGTGCAGATGTGCCATGCTTAAGTATTCACATACAAAATATGAACAAAATCGCTCCACTACTTTTCAAGTTACAGCAAAAGTCGTAAAATAGCGAGTAAAGGCCACCATTTTTCAAGATGGCTGCCATGTGCTTCTTTAATATCTACATTTCTAGCTTTATTAATGTCCTATATAATTTTTTTACATTTAAAATACTATTGCTATTACAGTGTTACATATTTTGTACCTAAATTACTGTAAAATCGGCACTAAAATGGCCACCATTTTTAAATGAGTGGCCATTTTGGAAATCGGCTTCAAAGCAGAACTTCTACCCCTATAGGGTATATGTGTACAAAGGATGAACAAAATAGGGCTAACGGTATTTGAGTTATTGCCCAGAAGGATGGACGGACAGACGGACCTCTTGTATATATGCTGTTCATGTCATCTTCGTTCAGTCCAGCTTGAAAATTTATTTGTAGTTGCTGTTGTTTTCTTCTTCCTTCTTCCGGACGGAGGCGTTCCCTATTTCCCTACGAACTTCGTTCGATGGGATAATAAGGGCAGACACTACTTGTGTTAGGGAGAGCAAAATGTCAGGTTTTGTTCTCAAACAACTGAACAATGTAGCAAACTGAAAATCCAAGAATTTTTTTTTCCAATATGTGCCCCAATCTCGCAATTTTTTTATAACTTGTTTTGCAAATACATCAGTGTCAACTTACAATTTTTCAGTTGGTAACGTGTACTGTTTATTGAGCCTCAGTCTTGTCTCCTCGGCAACAAGGTTGTCATTCTTCAAAGCAGCTTCCTGAAATATTATTTTAATAATCAGATGGTGTAACTTTGTAGACAACATGTTCCAATATTATATTGTTAATAAAGTTGCTTTGAATTGGGAAAGTGAACATGAAGCGGCTTACTCTCAAAAGTGGTATTGGAAATACAATAAAACCTGTCTTAGTGAACACATCTTTTGCTCGTGAATACCCATGTTAAGTGAACACCTCTTCAAGACAATTTTTACATTGACTCCTGTATAAGAAAACCTGTCTGTAGTGAACAACTACTTACAGTGAACCATTTTATGTAGCTCAATAGGTGTTCACTATATATAGGTTTTACTGTATATATATGATCATTAGACCTTGAGTAAACAATTCTTATATCATTGCACCATGTATATTTTGATTGATAAAAACATAAAGCATATATTCTAAAAAGAAATGTTCATGTGGTTTTCCTATGGATAGCATTAAGAAATGTTTTAGATTTTTCTTAAAACTATTTTTAGTTGTAACTACCAGGTCAATCAATAAGTTCTGAGAAAAGTCTTTTAAATTAAAAGTTTTATGACTTTTTACGTGAAAGTGTCACAGGGCAAATAACATAATGGCACGACCAGGCCAAGTTATATAGAGTATCCACCTTTTTGGAGAAAATTATAGTTACTTCACGATGGCAAATTGTGTTTCAAGTAGGCAGGGAAATATTTTGTATGTCTATCAAATAAACCCTCACCAGTAAGTTATTTTGAACTGTCAAATGAGGCATATAGTTCTTTAAATAGATGATACACAGGTAAAAAGTTAAATCAATTCAATGTTTAAGTAATATCCAAAGCTCATTTAAAGATTTGATTCAAAAAATCTTCACAATTATACATGTACAAGTAACTAGCCTCTGTACTTCAACTTATTTGGCGCTAACTACTTTGGAGGATTTGCTTTTTTGAGCATTTAGTGGCTGACTTGCGACACTACATTGTACTAATGGTACTAATCTAGTGCTAAAACTACCAGGGAATTTGGGGGCGACTTAATTTGGCAGACTTCAACAATTTGGCAGATTCGCCAAATTAAAACACTGCCAAATTAAAAGTACAGTGTTATCTTGTTAAACCAATGATTTTGTTGAGAAAGAAGATCTGTGATACTGTCTCATACCAAAACTGTCATATCTAGGCCTAATTTTTGCTCAGCTGAGAATGACATGATCTGTACAATTCAAACTCCAAAATTGTTATCGCCAATTTGAATTAACATTCTTAATAATAAATTTTTATCACAATTAATAAGCAATACTATGACATGTTACTAGATCAAAACACCACGGATGTAAATTAAATAAAGATATTCTTAAAAATCAATTTAACTTTCAAGTAGTGTTTTTTGTAATCAAAACACCACAGATATGAATTGAATTCACTATTTCTTAAAAAACAATCTAACCTTTGAATAATGTCTTTTGAAATCAAAACACCAAGAAGTGAATTAAATTTACCATTTCTTAAAAATCAAAACAACATTCGTGTGGTGTATTTTGTGATCAAAACACCACGGATGTGATTGTGAACGATATAACCTTTGAGCATATGTCTCAAGATAAAGCATATCATAATATTCAACATATATTGTTTAGCTCTTAAACTTGTTAAGCAAGTGTAAATAAATATCAAATTACTGCAAGTATTTTTCAATTGCTTTGACTTCTTTCATTTTAATAAAACTGGCACACTTCTAAAAATGAAAGTTAATATTTGACATGAGTAAGTCTTTAAAATGTTATGCTTTCAATATAATAAAGATAAGCTTAGTAATAAATTAAATCAACTTATGATGTGAACTCGAAAATTAGCAACTCCTGAAATTTTTCTGAAAATAGGTATTCAAGTTCTAAAAAAATTGAATTGAGCAGCTATATTGGAATTTGCTTCTTGAAAATAGGTCCTATTTGTGAACACCTACAAAATGAACATCAAATCCAATATCTTGTATCAAAGTTTTCAAAAACTGCGACAAATGGCTCCCATTTTGAGTTCAGATGCCATCTTGAAAAAATTTTCTTGAACAAGAGGTCCAATTGACAAAATCTGTCAACTGGTACATAAGTCATCATACAGACAGACAAATGGCTGAAAGGACAGACAAATGGACAGATGGCTTCTCTATATCCCTCACAAACTACATTCAGTGGGATAATAAACCAGAGAGGTAATTGCAGATTGTATTTGTTGAATCCAATTGGTTTATACAGTTTTTCACTTAAATTATGCATTTCAGGCCTATCTATAGCCTTGCCCAGGTCGGTCTCTTTTACTATCTTGATTTCTCTTATGGTAATAATTCAAGATCAGATAAGAAAAAAATACCGACTTGGGCAAGGCTAGGTTATCTATGATCTGACTAAAAGATCAAATTGTATGTGATTGAGGAATGGGTTTATGCTTACATGTATTTCACTTACATGTAAAATCTGGTAAAAGTTAGGTCTCCCTGTGTAAAAGAAAGGGTGGTATGGGCGACCTGTCACATCAAACTGGGCAGCTTTTTTTGTTGGGAATACCTCCTCAGGGTGCTGGAACAAAACACAGGAATCAACGTTTGAATTCAATTATTTTACATGATGTACTGAATAACATGTTTTATCCCATAGTTACTGTGATCATATTAGGGCAAAATAAAAAGGTATGTTTGGAACCAATAAAAAAATCATATTTTTGTAAAATTTTCACTTAACCGTTGAATACGACTTTAAAACCATGAGATATGGTGCTGTATCCAATGGTGAAAAGATTTTTCTACTAGACTCAAAACAAGGCTGACAGTAACCATGGCCAATCAGTCATTTTAATTTAAGGTTAAGAACACTACGAGCAATTTAACTATTAAAATGTATACATGTATATGGAATAATAAAAAGAACTTCCTATTAGTTACTCATGATTTGATTTTTATCCACTTGTGGATATTGATATCTGCATTTTCCCAAATCCTCATTCATGCACTTTATTCTTGGATAAGAATTGTATCACTTATAAATTATAAGATATCCTTATTTTTGACATTTTCTCAAAACTGTAAAATTTTAATTTTTGACATTCTATATTTTTCTCTGTGTAATATCCTGATATCATGGGATAAAAACCCTACATTAGTCAGGTTTGGATATGTCATTTATTCTTCGGGATGATAATGATATCTCCCCTTGGTACCAAAAGTCAGTTATCATATCATGATTATTAGACCCATATCCAGTTGCTGTGTCATGTTTCCACAGCAGGTAGGATATAGTGCTCCTTTCAAATTACTGGGGAGGTTCTCCAAAAACAGTTTTTCGTATTAAAATCAGGAGTTGGTACAGTATAACTTGTAAGGTAGTACAGCTCTGTAAATGGAACACCTCCCTAGTGGAACTTCAAAGACTGTTTCTCAAAAAATGTAAAATGAAAATCTGTATGTAGAGCACCTCCAAAATGGAACAATATTTTTTAATACCAAATGTGTTCCACTTACACAGGTTTTACCATATGTTGGTATGTTTCAGTTTATGTATGTGAATCAGGCCAGTAGCCAGCTTTTGCCAAGGGGGGTTCACTTTTCAAAAAATTCCAGGGGGGCTCACATAAGACAACTTTGGCCAAAAAGTGCTCAGAATAGTGAAAAATGATTTTTAAAGAATTTCTGATTAAGAGGGGTTTTGCTCTAGCCCCCAACCCCCGCCTGGCTACAGTCCTGTGCATTATGTGCATCTTTTTTCAGTTTTAACAATGACAGATAAACAAAATACCCTACTTTCAAGGATGGGCGGGATTGCTTGGAAAGTCCAGATGGTAGAAGGTATTCTATGGCTGTCTGAAACAGAAATTAGTCATAGTCATGTATGAGTATTCACTCAAAATTGTTAAATATTAGATTCAAAATCTGTGATATCGTATGTTTTTGAGTAACAGTGTCTAGAAGCCTATTATGTCATACTCTAGTCTCATTTAAGGCTGTAATACTAGTCTATAGAAATACTTTATTACTAGTCTCTAGAAAGCTTTCATATTAGTCTCTGGAAAGGCTAGAATACTAGTCTCTAGAAATTCATCAAACTTGTTAAAACAAAACATATTTGACAGGAACATATTAAATATTACAAAGGTTAAAAAAGAAAAAACTCACATCAATTTCATCTTGTGTAAAATGGTCGGGATCTGCACCCATTATGTTCGCTAGATGGCGCTTACCAATCTCAAACTCGGCAACCTGACTTTTCATGAATTCATCTGAAATCACAATGCATTTACAAATAAAAATTTGAATAGAGATGAAGAAAATTATCATCTGGTGGGACAATATTTACATTTTTTGAAAAAAAAATTAAAATTCTCTTGATACATACTGTATACAATTATTGACCTCTCCAGAGGTTTAATGTCAAAATTATATCCCGAGACAGTAAACCGAGACCGTAGGTCGAGGTTTACAGTCGAGGGATATAATTTTGACAGTAAACCGAATGGAGAGGTCTATAATTGTTTTGTTAGTCCGAAGAATATCTTAGATTTTTCTGACCCTTGAAGTTGACTTGAAGTTGGATCCAGACCCTCGAGACGTTCATGTTGTATTTCAGTATATCGGCAGTAAGTTCACTCAATGGAGTCAAATTACTCTCCTGGGCGAAGTCCACTAGAAGCTTTGTACAAAGTTTTAGATTTTTCTTCGTATTTTGACTGTCTTTACTCTCTAAGAGACTAATAATTATCCTCATCTTCAACATTTTTGAAACGGCTAGTGCTAGCGGCGGCCATTTTATCGTCTGATAATGACGTCATTTTAGTGGAATGCTGGGAATATTATTCACCGGCAATGCATTGCGCGGTGTACAGTTAAAATTATTCACCGCTCGTTGACCAATCAAAATCGAGTATTTCAACTGAGGTACTAACAATATATATTATTTTATGAATTCACCAATATGTGATAACTGATTAGACTGATATGTGTCATAATATGACATCAGAAAAGTATGTATTTGACATTCTCCATCTCTGACTAATACTAGTGAAGAGGGATCAAGTGATACCAGATACTTGCCATGTTTTTGTGCTCTCTCTAGGTATGCTTTCATTGCTTTACTGATCTTCTCTGCTTTCCTACTCGATATTGGGCTGGTCTCTTTGCCTCCCTCAGAGCTTGAGTCACTGGCCAGGTGACGTATAGCATTCTAAATAAAGTTGTAAATTTAAATCATAATTTATCTTTCACCTGAATTTTCATATATCATATATTTAAGAAATATAGACCAAAGAGCAGGGTTTCTAGTTTCGAATAACACCCAGCTGGTCTCGGCACAAACGTTTTCTGTACCCCGAACGACCGAAGGGAGTGAGGGGTTCGAAAGCTTTTGTGCCGAGACCAGCGGCGTGTTATTCGAAACTAGTAACCCTGCTCTGTGGTCTATATTACGATTCGAACATGAAAACTCACCAAATTGTTTCGAATATTCATCATGGTCCGCCATTACTACGACCCACCGTTATGATGTCACACATTACACATATTAACTGGGTTATTAATCTCGAATATAACCCAGCTGAAGCATTGACTTTGATTACAGTTTATAGAAGGCGAATTCTATATATAAACTTACATATGTAACATATACAGGGCGTTTATGAGAACAGTTAGACCAGGTACATAGTACATATGTTTTATTTTTTCCTCATTTCAAAGTAAGGACCTGACTTATTTTTTGAAGCTCAATTTTATGCCCATAATTTTAACTCCGTCCACAGCCCTAACTGTGCTTGTGGCAGCTCTCAAACCTTAAAGCATATTATTTTCCAGTGCAACCTCTTAACCCTAGTAAGACAGGATCAAGCAAGGAAATACACATCCACTTTATTTTGTACCAGAAAATAACATGGGCAGGTATAGCATTTTTTCAAAAATGTTGTTTGGTAGGAGGTGAAATGTTTTCGTTCCACCATCACCTTACCTACAGGTAAAATATTTGGATACAAATAGACCTCCTTCTAATGAAAATGATCAAAATAAAAATTTCTTCCAATGAAAGTTCATCCATTTTGTGAAGTCTTTATAACAAGGTGGCGACCAAGAGGTGGAGAAACCCCAGAGTTCAAAGATGACGTAAGTCTGTAATGTAAATTTGTATTGAGATGACCCACCCTCCTGATTGGCCCAAATCGAAAAACAAATGGCGGATTCAAAATGTTCTAATAACGCTTCGAATATTGTCATGTTAATTGCTGGTGTGTTAAGGTGCTATGGAAGTTAACAGGAAATGACAAAACAAAAAAATGTCAAAACCATGCTGGATTTTGAAAAATTTTTGAACCAAGATAACAGAGTTCTGTTTGGACTTCCAGTCAGTTTAACTAGTTCCACATATCAGAAATACATGACTGGGAACACAATGAAAATGGTCAGAATGACCATAAACATGATAAAATAACCTTTTCAGCCCTCTGAAAATGTGACTGAAAAATAGCTAAAAGTATGTGCTCAGTATTTCACATTAGATAAAGAAAGATGTAAGGAATATGCTTAGGTTCATTTAAACACCACAACGACATGTTGTTCTCAAAAACTAACTTGTTGGAATTTGCGCAAACGAAGGTGTTACTACAGTGGGGATCATAAAGAATTGCAAAAACTATGAAAATTACATGCTGTCGCACATGTAATAAATTCTTACCTCAGTGTATTCAGTGCTCTATTTTCTCCATCTTAGTAAGTCCAAATATAGTGGAATTTGTGTCCCTAATGTCAAATAAGAACTTTAAAAGTTGAATTGGATATTCACATGTTATGCCGACTCTTCAAATGTTGAGGTGATTTTGTTGCCCGATTGCGCCGGAACGGAGGATTGGCTCCCAGAATGCAACATGACACGTGCCAGCTTTCAAAATGCTGTTCCGCCATTTTGAAACCTGTCATGAGTAAATACGGTTAAGGGGCAGGGTCAAAATATCGATGTTCATATGGAGACGAAAGTACTTTCGCGAGGGGTGGAGGGGGTTTTTGGGCACTTTCGTTGACCAAAAAAACATCGATAATTCGGATCTGATATACAAAAAATAATTGGACTTACCCACTTTTTCTGGCGCTATGTTCTGATAAAAAGGCTTGTTTTCAATAGTTCGTGAGCTTTTTTGTGATAGGTCCAAAATATCGGTAGATAAAGACGATAATTCGATCATTTTTCAAATAAATTCCGTACTTTTCCCTCCTCCTTTTGAAGAGTTCAATGCAGTTAAATTGCGAACGTGTGTTAATTCACCGTAATAATAACCCGGCAAATAGGATACGATTATTAATCAATGTTTTTTTAAGTGACCTAAGCTTTCGTCTAGAGGGGGGTGGGGGGGTTGTTGTCCAAACGAAATTACTTTCGTCTCCATATGAACATTGATATTTTGACCCCGCCCCTAACTGATGTTGCATTCTGGGAGTCAACCGTCCTTTGATAACAAACATGGCGATTCATGAAAACATTCATTCGATTTGGTAGGGATTTATCCATTATTTGCAGGTATGAAGCTTTGGATTGATTTATTGTGCTACTTTAGTGAACGGGAATTATTTTTCTACCGCTTGGGAGAGTTTGAGACACGAAACTTGGAAATAAGCTCATTGTGACAACTTGTGAGCGTTGAGTTTTATTTTTGTCCACACTGTATAGAATACTAGTCCAAGTCAATGCTGGTAGAATACTTATCTCGGGGAAATGCAGAGTGGGTCTCTACATTACGCAAGATATGTAATTTGTCTGTCATCGCTAAAGCTCTGAAGTTTTCCCTCCTCTTATAGCGACCAGTGGTTTTCGCACTTTAGATCATGTAGAACCTCATAGTAGGCCTAATTGAATGGTGGTCGGTTTCAAAAACACATAAATTTAATAGATCTTGTATCAAAAATGATGAACTTCGACAGTTTTTCACGCTCTATGCTGATATAAATAAAGAACATACCTTGAGGGATATTTTACACCTCGCATCACCTTCGTGTATTCGTATGTAACGTACAAAAGGAGAAAAAAGAGTACTGGAAAGCTTTTGCATGGGCGCAGCCATCTTTGATTCTACTAGATCTCAAACTTTCAAACTTTATTCCCAAAACGAAATCAATATTATTATTGTCTTTAGTCTAAATATTGAGTCGCTTACAAAAAATATAATAATATTTAAAACATTGGTATTAGAAATATATATACAAATGTATTGTGATAAATTTATTTTGATAAGTTTGTTTTGTTGAAGAAAGTTTCGTTCTTTTCAAAGTTCAAATTTTAGATTTCGTTTTGTAACTTTCGGAAAAAATTCAAGGTTGAACTGAAATATCTTACAAAAGTACGGATAATTTGGACAGGCGGTAGTGTCCCACCATGGGTAATACTTTGAGATATGTAGCAAGACCATTTCGAAATTGGAACATCGAGAATAGAGCGATCAAACAAGTAGAAAAAACTGAAAAGGGCACGACTAAAAAACCTGCTCCAAAGCATCAGACAACTGAAGCATTGTTGAAAAATTTACAATCAAGTAAGCTACACCAGAATGATGATTAATAGATTAAAACTACAATGTATAATTCATGTATGATAAATCTGTGGCCTCTTGTGAGCATCCTCCGATCTCAGGGCTTCAAAATCCAGAATTTATTCTTTCTTTTTGCCCCCTGCGATGAGCAGTTCGCATTTCCCCGATAAAGAACTCGCAATCTGATTGGCTGTCGCAACACTGCAACAGAAATCATGTATAAGTCATTGCGCATAGGTAGATCATGTGATTCGGTTAAATCGGGCGCTTCCAAATTGGTTATAGCAGGGGGGAAGAAGGAGGTACGGATTTTTGGACACCTGCTTAGGAAGATGCTTGTGAGTTTCAGCCACATTTTATATTTTGAAAAAATCGAGTCGAGTTCTGTATGGATCTGTATGAAAAGAGAGAACTTGACTCAATTTTTATACATGCTCCTGGGTCTATGCAAAAGACGATGTAGTGTGTCTAATCAAAACATAAGCTGAAACATAAGAGGCTAAACATTTTATCATCTGTCATTTCTGTTGGATTATTCTGGTTAGGGGTCACACATTTTCAAAGTTTTCAGTACAGTTCGCAGTTTTCAGTTCAGGTTATTTGGTTATTATATTCTGCTATCAGTATACATAGCCAGGAAGAAAAAAGTGACGAGGCGAAAAATATTTCCAAGTCTGTTGAAAAGCCTTGTCTGCCTCATTCTGGCTACGCTTCAACATTCCCATTTATTATCCCACTGAATGAAGTTCCGAGGGGGATATAGAGAAGCCGTCCGTTCGTTCGTCCGTGTGTCCGGGCGATAACTCCAATACCGGTCGACGGATTTGGTTCAAATTTTATAGGCTTATGGCTTATGAGTGTAGGACCTCTGCTCGAGAAGGAAATTTCAATATGGCCGCTCAATTCATAATGGCCACCATTTTTCGTAAAAAATGTAATCGTTGATAACTCAAATACAAGTTGACGCATTTGGTTCAAATTTTATATGCTGATGCCTAGGGACAAAGGAGTTTCGAACAAAAAGAGATTTTCAAGATGGCCGCTTAATTTCAAAATGGCAGCCATTTTTCGTAAAAATATGTAATCTTTGATAACTCAAATACCAGTGAACGGATTTGGTTTATATGATGATGCTTAGGGACACAGTAGCTATGTTCGACAAAATTTTTTCAAGATGGCCGCTTAATTTCAAAATGGCAGCAATTATCCCCATGTTGATGTGCATTAGTTGATTAAACATTTTACCAGTAGAAATACATGTTTGTTACTGAGCATATCTAAAATCAATCTCAATTGATTCGAAGAGGGGTCTTTAAAAAGGAGATTTCACTTGGTTTTCAGACCTTTTGGTTAGAGAGGGCACATTAACTCTGAATTACCTAAGCTATAGGAAACAAAAAATTTTGATGAATCAATTTTTGGTTAGTATTTTTCTCGTTTATAACACATGTTCATTTTTGGCTAATTACCAGATAGGTTTAAAGTTTTTTTATTATCATTTAAACAAAACAAATTACAAACACAGCAAGGGCCGAAGCAATTCATTATTGGCCCTGGTAGTCAAGAATTTATATAATGTAAAGTGAAGTTGCAATGAGATTTAAGGATCAACTCGGTAATGCAGAACAGTATATAAAAATAAAAACTTACTCATTTAAAATAGTAACAATTAACTGCAGAAAACCTGCAGTCATTTCAACAATTTTCTGATTTGTCAGATACGATAATGAGCAATCACCGTATAACAAATAATTTACCCTGTCTTGCTGTCTGAGTTGACCAAACACGGTTAAATCAAAGGATGGCAGTTCCCCAAGTTCTTCCAAAAACAAGTTTCGCTGAACAATGAATAGAGGGCAGTGTAATAATAGGTGCATTGTAGACTGTGATCTAAAGCCACAATTACAACTTGGAATATCAATGTTTCTAAAATTATGTGTGAATAAATGCTGCCTAAAAATAAAGTCACATCGAGTCTTATTCAAAGTTGATTCTGTCTTCCTATCAAGATGCAATTTTGGAGTAGGTAGCTTTATTTTAGAATTTTGAATATGTTTCCTCAGGTTAAACTTAAAACAATTTCTAGATTGGATAGCTTTCAAATCACCAGGCAGTTTCTCCCATGCTGTTATACAAGATATCACTGTACCCTTTCTGATCTTGGCCTTACAGTGAGCTGGTATTCTGAAAGATCTGACTCTGCGTAACCGATTTCCATTATTCATTACATTATTATTTCTATATAAAGAAAAGGCCTGGTTTACATAGGAAGGCATTTTGTTGTTATTTATGACGTCATAAATAAACAATAGTTTCTTTTCATCCCTCCTGGCCCCTAGGGACCTCCAACCTAAGCATGAGGTGACTTTGGTTGCATTTGTACCTTGGGTACATCCACTGACAATCAATGCTGCCCTATACTGAATACTATCCAATTTAGAAAGTAAATTTAAGTTTGCACAATCAAAAATGATATTCCCATATTCTAAGTGAGGTAGTATAAATGCCATATAAATCTTCTCTAGATGTTGTGATCTTAAGTTATGTTTTAGTGCCATAAGTGGGTTCAACATCCTGTTACATTTAACAATTATACTGTTAATGTGTTCTTCAAAGTTTAAAGCCTTGTCTAAAATAAGTCCAAGATGTTTGTGACTATTGGTGAAAGGGATAGAGTCACCATTTAACACAATAGGAATTTGAGCAATTGGAGTTCTAGTTTTGGACTGGAAAAACACTTCCTTACTTTTACTTGTCTTAAATTTTAATTTCCAAGTCTTTGACCAGATCTCTATTCTATTAACATCGCTTTGGAGTTTTAGATAAGTTTCATGAACTGAGTCCTCCTTTTTGACAGGTAGAAAAATTGAGCTATCATCAGCATAAAGGTACAGAGTGCTATTTAAAACTGCATCGGCTAGGTCATTGATATAAAGTAAGAAAAACAGGGGACCTAATATTGACCCTTGAGGAACCCCACAATTTATTACTCCTTTGTCAAACCCCCCTAAATCCCTTCCTCCTGTCCCTAGAATCCCTTCCATTGTCCCATCAATATTGTCATATAGAGTATCTGAATTTATTGAAGTTGTACCATTCACCCTAACTTTTAATTTTCTGTTATTAAGGTAGGACCCTATCAGATTAATAATGTTCTCACAGATACCGTATGATTTTAGCTTATGGAGAAGTAAGTAGTGGGGGACGCCGTCAAACGCACCCTCAATATCAAGAAAGATCCCTCTAGTAGAAATATTATGGTCAAAATTTGAAGTAATCATATTTACAATAGATACAAGTTGTTTCTGAGTGTCATGCCCAGGTAAAAACCCGGATTGGTTCTGATACAAAAGATTGTTAGATGACACATGTTTGAATATTGAATCATATATGACGTTCAAAAATTTTGGAAATATTACTTAAAAGGCAAACTGGCCGATAGTTCCCTGGGTCAACTTTTGAGGATTTATTTTTGAAAATGGGGACAATAATGCCCTGCTTCCAACAATTAGGAAATTTGCCTTTAGTAAGAATGAGTTTAAAAAGTTTATGAAGTTCTGCATCAAGTGAATCTGCCACCAGTTTAAGCATTTTATTATGTCCCCACCACATAGTGTGGGGCCATATTGTCGGCCTAGGCGCGTCCGTCCGTCTGTCCGTCCGTCCGTCCGTCTGTCCGTCCGTACGTCCGGGAGTTTTCTCCAAAACCGCTACAGATATCACCTTCAAATTTTCAGGGATAACTAATGAGTGCATACAGATGTGGATGAAAAAAAATTAACTCGATACCTACTTCCTGTCGGCCATTTTGAAGTCAAATGCTAAAATCCTTGTCTGCAAACTTTAAGAAAAACGGCTTCACAGTTGCTTTTAAAACTTTAACATCTTGTTCAGCTCACTTCATTCTAGATCTGATTAGGTTTTGGACCTGTTAGCTCAGTCATGTCAGCCATTTTGAATGTCTTAAGAAAAGTTAGCGCACGATAATACTTTGTAACATATTGAATGGTGTTTTTGAGTTTTCATATTATAACTATTTAGTAGCTTTATAAATAATTTCAGATGTACTTTGTTGTTAAAGCCTATGTTGTTGTTAACAGTATTTATATGTGATAATTTTGTAAAAAGAAATCAGCAAAAACTCATGATCACTTTTTTATTGTCAGCCATTTTGGATTTTTCCGTCCTAAAATCTTGTCTGTGGAGTCTTGTCTACGTGTTTTCAGGTGAACCGTTTGGTGGATCAATTCTTGATTTTCAGGGATGATTCTTAGTATAAAAATCTAGATCTGATTAGTTTTTTGGCATTCTGGGTAAATGTCAAGGCAGCCATTTTGGATTTTCCGTCCTAAAATCTTGTCTGTAAAGTCTTGTCTACGCGTTTTCAGGTGAACTGTTTGGTAGATCAATTTCAATTTTTCAGGGATGATCCTTAATATGAAAATGTACAACTGATTAGTTTTTTGGCATTCTGGGTAATTGTCAAGGCAGCCATTTTGGATTTTCCGTCCTAAAATATTGTCTGTAAAGTCTTGTCTACGCATTTCCAGGTGAACAGTTCTGTAGATCAATTTCAAATTTTCAGGGATGATTCTTAGTATGAAAATCTAGATCTGATTAGTATTTGGGCATTCTGGGTAAATGCCAAGGCAGCCATTTTGGATTTTCCGTCCTAAAATCTTGTCTGTAGAGTTTTGTCTACGCATTTCCCGGTGAACCGTTTGGTAGATCAATTTCAAATTTTCAGGGATGATTCTTAATATGAAAATCTAGATCTGATCAGTTTTTTGGCATTCTGGATAAATGTCAAGGCAGCCATTTTGGATTTTCCGTCTTAAAATCCTGCCCGTAAAATCTTGTCTATGCGTTTTTAGGTGAACCGTTTTGTAGATCAATTTCAAATTTTCAGGGATGATTCTTAGTATGAAAATCTAGATCTGATTAGTTTTCTGGCATTCTGGATAAATGCCAAGGCAGCCATTTTGGATTTTCCGTCTTAAAATCCTGCCCGTAAAGACTTGTCTACGCGTTTTTAGGTGAACCGTTTTGTAGATCAATTTCAAATTTTCAGGGATGATTCTTAGTATGAAAATCTAGATCTGATTAGTTTTTTGGCATTCTAGGTAAATTTTAAGGTGGCCATTTTGGATTTTCCGTCATCAAATTGTGTCGGTAAAGTCTTGTCTACTCATTTTTAGGATAACCATTTGACAGGATCACCCATAGGTGGGGACATTTTGTACACATTTGTGTTCTTGTTTGTAATGTTATCATCACCCCCCTTTTTGTTTGATTTAAGCTCCCTCAAATGTTTATTTATTGACTGCTGTGAAAGATCAATTTCATTTAGCATGTTATCAGTTTTTCTTTGACAAGTTGGTAAAGTTTGATCAACAATGTTGTGATGAAATTTCTGTAAAAATTGATGGAGAAATGCATTAGCTTTAGCATGGTCATCTTCAATGATCGTCCTGTTAATCTCTAAAAAAGGAATTCCTGATGCAAATTTAGAACCTATTAATTTTTTAATGATGGTCCAATAATTTTTCTTACTAGCTGCCTCTTCATCAAGATTACTGCACATCTTGTCCTGATAACTGGATTTTGCATGAACAATTGCATCTGAGACTAAATCACATTGATGTTTAAATGTTGTGAAGTTAAAATCATTTCTATTTTTAATTAATTTTCTATACAATTTATCTTTCTTATTTAATGCTGATTTCACTTCATGATTAAACCAGGGCATATCACTTTTCTTTATAAATTTCACTTTGGATGGAATATAAGTTTGAAAAATCTCAAACGATGCATTGGTAAAATTTACAGTGACAGTATCAATGTCTTCGTGAGATAAAAGTGCATCCCAGTTAAAAATCAGATACAGCTTGATTCAACTGTAAAATGTTAGCATCACTGTAATGCCAGATCTGCTTATAATCTCCTGCATGTTTATCAGGTAGAGAGAAATCTAAAAGTGCTGAAACAGAGCTATGGTCGGAACCCCCAATTGGCAGTTTTACCTCAGATTTTAATACCTTACCAGATCATCTTTATTTTTCCAGGTAGCCCTGAATTTCTTGAAGAACAGATGAGACAAGATAGTGATCTATTAGAAAGACTTAAGCAGGTCAAAGTAGAGTCTACTGGGGAAAATCCAGAGGTAATGACTAAGTCTAGCTCACAAGTATGCCATATATGGCACCGTGTCATTGAGTATACCAAGTGAAATCTGCCATATAACAGAAAAATTACCAAAAATATTTTCATTTACTTACCAGTCGTCATTGTTTAAATGTTCTGGTTATAATGATTAATAATTCTTTTTTAAGGCTACTTACTAGAAGAATACTTTATATAGTAGATATCTAATGTTTATATCTTCAGTTGTCATAATTATTCACTTGACCCCAAGAATTGATCTTTTCCCGCAAAATAAAAGCCTGCTGTCTCGTTTATGTATATTAAATCTACATGTATTTGGACACAAAACGAGAGTTGTATGTTTCATTTTACAAAAGAAACCAAATATTGTAGATTAAAATGAAAAGCCTATGCCCCTTTTCCTCTACCAAAGTCAATGAATGCAAAACAAAGTGTCCATTTCTCCAACAAAACATAAAATCACTCTCACTTTGTATTTCAGCTGAAGGCCAAACCGCGTCCCTTGCCAGAGAATAGAACATTTGTCGATGACCCAGAATTTGGTTACCTCGAGCCAGCAATTGTCCCTAAAGGAAAGACAACGATTCAGAAAGCCCTAGTCTTTATATCTCAACATCAGGAAGATCCAGAGACTCACACTGCTAGCAAAATTGCAGAAGAACAACAATTGGACATTGCAGAAGTTGAACGAGTCTTAAAGTATTTTCAGACTTATCATTTGTTTACTCCACCAGCAAAGGGAGAGCCACCACAGACCATTTTGGACAAAATAAAGCGTAAAGGTATTAGTGCAGGAATTAAAAATCCAGCACCAAGTTCATAATGATGGCTTTTCAAGGCTGTAGGAAGCACGGAATGAAAACAGACAATATGTCAAATAGGCAAAACTTCAAAAGGGCAAAATGTCAAACGGACAAAACCTAAAATTGGCAGAATGACATAGAGGCAAAAACTTCATATAGGATTAACCTCAAATGAACATAACCTCAGAGATGCAAAAATGGAAAATATAACATGATGCTGAAGAATGAACATTAGATGTTCAAGTAACTACAGTGTGTATAGAACTGATTTCTTACATGATAAATTATAATATTCTGTGTATTAGGAGTGCAATTTTGGAGGATGCCCCAATTCCATTGTAAATCAACAGTTTCAGACTTGCCAACCTCCCGTTTTTTTATGGGAATCCCCCGTAATTTTTTTGTTTTTCCATAAAAAATACCAAACTCCAGTACCGTTTTCTACCGTAAAAACTCCTGTTTTTTAAAAATTTACCGTAAAAACTCCCGTTTTTTCAGAAATCTACCGTAAAAACTCCAGTTTTTTCAGAAACCTACTGTAAGAACTTCCGTTTTTTCAGAAACCTACTGTGAGAACTACCGTTTTTTCAAAATCTACCGTAAAAACACCCGTTTTTTCAGAAACCTACTGTAAGAACTCCCGTTTTTTCCAAAATCTACCGTAAAAACTCCCGTTCTTTCAAAATCTACTGTAAAAACTCCCGTTTTTTCAAAATCTAAAGTAAAAACTCCAGTTTTTCAGAAATCTACCGCAAAAACTGCCTTTTTTTAAATCTCCCGTAAAAACACCCGTTTTTTCAAAAATCTCCCGTAAAAACTCCCGCTTTTTTTCAAAAAACTCCCGCAAAAACAACCGGATTTTGAAATAAACTCCCGTAAAAGTACCGCAATTTTTTTAAAATCTCCCGAAAATTTTTCATTTTAGGTTGGCAAGTCTGAGTTTGGCAAGAATGATCATTTTTAATTTTACTTTGACTCCCATTTCTTCTTTCATTAGTATCATCTTACTTCCTACAGCCTTGCCTTTAAATAGTACAATGTACATCCATGTATTTTGCATGTATTAGGAAATTTGGTATTATTCAATAAATAAACAAATTATTTATGAAATTTTTATCTTGTCATTGTATAATGTTTCATTTACACAACTCAGCCTGTGTAATAACTTGTACCGCATGTACATGTAGACTATGGTAAAACCGTCCCTGTAAATATCAGGGCTTCAAGATGATTGCTTATAAAGGTGGTGAATTGATTTAATTGCTTTTTAAATTTCATAATTGATGACCTATAAATTAAAGGTGCTATATGAACAATTTGTGTAAATCATTATTCTTTACAAAAATAGAGGGCAGTTGTGTTCCTTTCATAAACAAATGTGTTTGTAAGGCTAGAGGGGGGAAAACCCCAGGGTTTAGGGATGACATTTGTCTATAATGTAAATGTGTAATGAGATGACGTCCTGATTGGTCAAATTGACAGACAAATGACAGTTTCAAAATTTTCTTAAAATGCTTTGAATAATATTATGTTAATATCTGGCATGTTAACCAACATCATAGCTTGTTATTTCACACCCAGATAAAAAAAATGTTTAAAGAGATTTGGGTCTCCTAAAAACACAATTCGAGTAACCCCCTGATTTTTTCGTGTTATTTGATGTAAAACAAGTTTGTTTATCAACTTATCAATTCTGAGGCTTGAATTAATTCGTTAACAGTATCAATTCGATGATTGTTCCTACCCATGAATTTCCACTTACATCAAATGAATAGAAATTCAAATTTAAATTTAAAAGGCCCGCTCAAATTTGTTCCAGTCTGATTGGGTTTTTCCTTCAGATTATTTTGGCTTAGAGAAGCCATATTTATTACTTCTAAGGGGTTACAATATAGATAAATCCCCAAAAAACATTGTATTCTGTTTTCGACTTATTGCGTTCAATTCTGACAGTTGGTTGTTCTTTTGGTTGTCCTGTTGATATCCTCAATATATTGTCGATATCGTGCTTATGATTTGGTCTCAAGATATATATGATGTTTTATGAGCAATTATATTGAGACATTACTGATTGTCCAGAATAGAAATCTGGGCGACTCAATCTCTTTAAGGAATATGCTGACATCAATTGAAACATCACAGTGACATGTGGTATTCAATTCAGAAACTAGCCTGTGAAAATTCGAACAAACAAAATTGGTAAGCTTGCCCGTAGCCAGCTTTAACCAAGGGGGAGCTTTTTGACAGTTTTGGCTGAAAAATGATGCGAAAAGTGCTCAGAATGGTGAAAAACTGCATGATTTTGAAAGAATTTCTGGCCTAGGGGAGATTATTTTGAGCACTTTTTGCATCATTTTTTAGCCAAAACTGGCTACAGGCCTGATGAGCAAGAGACGTAATTATGTCTGTCATCTCCTGAGTTCTGGGATTTCCCTCCTCTTGGTGAAATGGTAGCCAGGACTTATATAGATGGCAGTTCACTTGTTCTATCTTCTGAATTGTTCTTCACGCCATTTCTGTTGATTGAGCTGTATGACTGTCTTCAAATATTCATGAATCACATTTTCTCATAATTGTTTACTAACATTTTTCAAGTTTCGATATCGTGAGGTTTTGGATGTTTTCATTGAAAGTCAATTTGAAAGCTTTTTGAAGCAATTTTTACATGTTAGTATACAATTAAACCTATCAAGTTTTTGTCATTAAGATATGAGAATTATAAAGGGAATGTACAGGGTGTCCAGAAACATTTTACATTTGTTAACATTTTTTTGATTTTTAGTGCAATTGTTTTTTGTTCCTTTCTACCAATTCTAGAGAATGAAATAAAATATCTTTCCGAACCTAGGAACAAAATAGCATATACTGTTACGCGGTAAACAAGATACAAATATATGTCATATTCCGCAACGAATATGGTATATTCACTTGCGGTGTATGACAGATTCACATGCGGTATATGGCATACACACTAACCAATGAGAATGTGATATGGAAGTACGCAATTGTCAATTGCATCGATTGAACGAACAAGTAAAAGTTTATAAATTATTATAATGATTACTGAATCAACAGTACAGTGTATCAACTTATGCAGAAGTATAACTCACCAATCTCATCAAGTGAGTATCACCGCAGGTGAGTATTGGGTATTCACTGAAATCAATGTATCGCATATTCACTGCGGAATATGGCATACTCACCTGCGGAATATGCCATATACCGCAGGTGAGTATGGCATATTCACCCGTATCACAAATACCGCGCAACCATTAATGTATGCCATATTCCGAATAACATACACAACATTTTCTTAGAATTCTCAATATTATTGTTATACAAAATGAAAATTTGGTTGATTGAACAAAAAGTATTCAAAAAATTAAAACAAAAACCCCCAAAAAAGATAAAAATTAAAGGAAACCTTTTATTTCATTAACAAGATACCTAAACACGTTGTGTATATGTTATTTTGTTCCAATGAGGTTCGGATAGAGGGTCATCATTAAATTGATGATGTGTAAAATTTTCAGAATTGACTGATTTAAGAGAAACATCATGTGTTCAATTCAGTTTGCCATATTGATACCAGTCGGGGGTGAACCCGAAACCCCCCTTTTTTTGCCAGAGACATGCATGTCAACTTCCGGTGACAGGCCCGTAGCCAGGATTTGTCAAGGGGGGTTCAGTTTTCAAAAATGTCCAGGGGGGTTCACATTTGATAATTTTGGCCCAAATATGGCTAAAATCACCGAACCCTGCGAACCCCCCCTGGCTACGGGCCTGGGTGAGGAACTTCAAAAGAAAATTCGAAGAGCAATAGAAAAACAAAGTCATTGCCCTATGATTTTCAATTTCTTAAAATAAACATCTGGGTAAACAACCAACAAATGTTCAGTTAGGGCCAGATAGAAAGAGGGGACAATTTGATCCTGCCTTGGTAATCAAGGTGTGACCTCAGTAATCACCGTTTCACCCCCCCCCCCCCCCCATAACCCCCATGTGTTATAAACACTCAGGTCTGTACTTGGTCTGTCACACATCACCTGCCAGCCAGGTCTCGCTTATGAATGGCTTTCAGTATGATGCCTGTAATTATACCCTTCTCCTTTCATCATGTTCAATATGTCCTTTTACATAGTTATATCCTAATATTCACCTGAATAACACAGCCACGTGGCTTTTGTTTACCTATTCTTTATGGGCATTATATATCTGATCACGTGATCATTGAGGAATGTGAACAATGCTTGAAATAGGCAAAGTGAGCTGCCAATCATCTTTGACCTAGTTAACCCATACAAATGCAAATACTGGTAAAGAGTTGAGAGAATTCATGAATCAATTAACATAGTTTAGGTTATATCACACTATTTTGGCAAAGTCATGGATTATATTTGCATTTATTATATAAACTATATAATAATATATATTTTGTAAAATTTTTGAATTTATTGAGTACTAGGTTAATAAACAATAGAGAAAAGTATGAGGTATTGATTTATTTTCTCCCAACCTCAGACACCTCACTTCATTCCGGTCAGATTTCAAGTCGTGTAAGGTTCGCTTAGGAGCAAGTTTAACAACAAATTTCGGTAAGCTACAACTATTGTTTTTCTACATTAGTATTAAATCAACATTAAAGAACATTTCATGCATAATTAAGACATATTCACATTACTGATTATGCTGCATAAATGGTCGAAAATTGCGTTTGAAATAGCTCAAAATCAAGTCGGTTTATTTTTTTAAACCAATATGGCCGCCAAGTGTTTCTGAACAGGTGACTTGTTAGTCATTTTGTGAATTCTTAACTGTAAACATCATTGTCAATATAGAATCACAACGTATTGATTCAGTCATATTGATTAAGTTCCGATTTTGATTGATCATACTGTTATTTCACGTGAAATAAGAGTGATGAATCATTTTAAAAAGTGGTAAAAATAGAAAATTTTGGCTTCCTAGCTCAGCTGCATTGACCAATAGTACTATTTCTGAATTGGCAACTTCCGAATTTATTTCAGAGTTCGTAAACAAAAACACATGATATAGGAAGTTGAAATGGGATGTCAGTTTTTAGAGTACGGTAGAAAAATCGCATAATTCTTAGGACGTAACATACTAGTAACATTGACTTCTAAACATTGAGTTACCAAAAAGTGGCAACATTTGGACGTACCTTGAGTCCCTTTAGTTACCCACTATTTAGAGCAAAATGGTTGCGTTAACTGTTAAACACGTTGGATTTTTTACTTGGATTCAAATATTTTTAGAAATGTTTTCACTTTCAGAAGATGTCAACACCAAGCGAGGCGAGAACGTAAAACTTAAAAGAGAAAAAGACGACGATAGAACCCAGAGTAGAAACAACATTTCACAACCAAGTGAATTGCATACAGTAATACCATAATATTTCTACATGCCTCTGTGGGGTGAATTTAGCACTGTAGCTCCCCGAATGTTGACTATATGCAGCGCAAAGACTCGGAACCAATCGCTGGCAGGCGTCCCCTGCTAACAACATTTACTGGAAATAATCGACAAATGCTACAGGATATACGAGATAATTTATCACATATCAGGAAAAACCAACAACTACAACAACAAGGAGAGGGGGGTAAAACGGAACCAATGCAGATCAAGCCAGACCTGATTCAGAATGCAACAAATGCTAACACAAATGCGAAAATGTCGCGTTTGGGATATAATCAGTTTGCTTTAGCAAAAATTCGAGATAGTTTACAGCCGTATCAGAATGGTTTGGAGGGTGGAGAGAATGTCCTGGTGGACAAGTTAATGCTTCATCAGATCATTGCCATGGGATATGATGAGGTAAGAATATAGATACAGATATAAAATACCATATCTCTTATGAAAGAATATGGAGCTTTGGTAAAATTCCTCAATAATTATATCAAGTTCAATGTTTCCTGGGTTAAATCACTCTCATTTATGACCTCTTTGGTCATGAGATAATCCCTAAGTCACAAGATCTAAATTGTTTGAATGGATACCCAACATCTCTATATCTTAAGATATTCTATCACTCATGAACTGCACATCATATTCTTCGCCAGACAACAGTCAGTAAAGTGTCGTATAGTATGCTTATTGGCATAAAGTATTCTGTAATCATTTTTGGTACACTCGATCTCGAGTTCATGTTGGTACTTTCCCATACATATTCATCCAAAATGGTACTCTTCTTACCATCATCTCATCATCATTTGATCATGATCTTGTGGTCAATCATTTATGGTCATGGGCATAGCGCCGTATCTGTATGTTTACCATTGTCAACATTTATAGTTGATAAAATCCACTTCGATTTTATCAAATAACGTCCTTGAAAAAAATGTGCACAGGGTAGCATACCCCGGACCCCCCGCGATGCGTGGTATTCGGCTACGCAATCAGGCATCCCCGAGTGTGCGTACCAACTCAAAAGATAGTCTTGTATCTACTCCTTTTGTGTTGTGATGTTCTTGATAGCCTCTGCTATGAGTTCACTATATTTTTTCAAATTGTTCTTGAAAGATTTAATGTGGGGAGAAGGAATTTATAAGATTAACACAGTTTCTTTGTGTATTTGATAATTGGTTCAGATGTTATTGTTTGTTTATTATAACCAATTGTGCTTTTTGGTTTTATGATTTCTTACATACTGTGTATCTCTGACTTTAATACTGGCCATTATGCTTACATATTCGTTATAAGAAATTCTTCTGTGAACTAAGGGAAAATATCATAATGGGAACTAGAAACATAGAGCACTGGTATGGGTATTGATGTAGTGGCATGAGCAAATATGCTCAATTAGAGTAATTAACAAGAGGAGAGGAATTTGGCATAGACTCTGTAATAATACTTGGTAACCCCTCAAAACAATTTTGACTATTCATTCTCTATTTTGGTACTAATTGAATTTCCTTTCATACAGACGATGAGCTTTAATATTAGATCTGATGAATATCAGAATGTTTATTCTCTGTATTATCAAAACTATAAGGGGACAAAAAAATGTATATATATACTTAATTTTAGGATGGATCATTCAAGATATCTAACCTGAATCATGCTGTAAATCAGTTATGTACATGTGGAACATATTTCATTGAGTAATCAAATGCTACAGCAAAATTCATGAACAAGTTTTGGCAATCAGCTTTTGCCTGCTCATTGAATAAAACTAAATTCAGTAAAACCTGTAAAGTGGAACACCTCCATAAGTCAGTGGAACCCTTCTTAGAGTCCCCGGACTTATTGACTTAATGTTAAATAAACCTCTGAAAGTGGAACACCTCCCAAGTGGAACACTTTTTAGAGGCACCAAATATGTTCCTCTTGTAAACACAGGTTATATTTTACAGTCCTATTTTAACATACATAACATTCATTAAGACAGGTTTTACTGTATATAAATATGTTTTTATTATGGTGCTCACATTAGACAGGGACAACTGTATGTAGGAATCATAAGCTCTTTGAGGTATATTTAGTAGACTACTGAATTTGTACCTGCAACAATTCTTCAAATATTTCCTCATTAGTTGATTTAAGGTCATTGCCAGAACCAGTGCTTACCATGCATAACCATAAATCCTGAGACTTCTAGACAAGCGTGTTATTGAACCACTATGGCAGTGTCTTGGTTTAAACACTGGGTACACAGATGAAGATAGTGTAAAAATTTGTTGAAAATAGTCACTTTTTAATAACTTACAGAATATGAATTCTTTTATGTTACTCAATTATTATTTTGTCTAAATATTTCAAAATCATGATATATAAGAAAAGATATCCTCAAAAGGATTTTGAGCGGGGGGGGGGGGGTGAGGGAGGTAGAAATGTTTCTGCCTCTGGCTTTGATACAAAATTTACATTGGGTTGTGAAAATGGGACTTTGAAAAGGTGTTCCTGGGAGGTGTTTCAGTTACAGAGATGTTCCACTTATCAGGTTTACTATCTGCACAGAATATGTTATGTTTTACAGAATGGATAATGAAACTGCCAGCAATATTTACAATTTCCCAACTATTATGATCTTTTAGCATCCCGATTTTGTAAGAGTTACCACAGAACTGTAGCTAGCTATCTCAGATTCTACCTTCAGGTCCAACACATCCACAACTCCATGAACATATTTCAAACATTTTGCAAATTTGTATTTTTTTCCACATGGTACCTGCAGCTATAATTTGAATCCAAGATCAGGTTCACCGTGACATGAACGCAGGGCATGTAAATTCCATTTCAGAACAACCTCAAGCTATCACAAAGCGCAGCATCTCAGAGGGATTTCATTAGAATTTCTAACAGGCAAAATGAATGAAAACAAGTCATATTATTGTATATTATGAATTGAATATGGAAACATAGCAAAATTCCTTAAAACAATAGTTATTTGGGTAAATACAACCATATAAAACTGCTTGTTTCCTGTTGCTATAAAATCCTGTTTTTATATCATAACCAGAAGTAGCAACATATTGTTACAGTCTCCAACCTTTTTGTGGACATTGTTTGGTGGTTGATGTTTGACAGTTGGAGTTTGGCATCTGTAACAAATGGCAGATGGTCACATTTTGAATGTCAATGCCTTGTTTGTATTATATATATTGTTATGATGATGGTATTGTGTAATGGCAATAAGGAACAGTAACATGCCCCACATGAAATCTGATACCTTCCTCAAAAGTCAGCATCTTCCATTAATGACCAGATATTTTAGATCAAGTTAATCAGTTTGATCAGGTTATTTTTCATGTATTTGAATGCATCTACAATGGCAGTATAGCTCTGATGAAATTGTTTAGGTTACAGCGATAATTGTCTAATATTGAGCATATGGATCTAAAATTCAATAATTCTCTGTTGTATAAGAACATACTATTAGTAAACTGGTTATATAAACAGTGCAAATTTTACTCATGTCACATACACATACTGTTATAATGAAATCTTTTTCTTCAATACAATCGATTTTGGAAAATTGATAATTGAAAGATTTTTAACACTGTATCGACATTATTGTTGCCTCTGTAAAATTTAGAATATCATAATTATCCTTCTCAGTCACGTAAATGTCAGAGCACCCTAATGCTACAGTAAAGCCTGTTAGTGTTTAAGTGAAACACCTTTCGTACCTCTAAAAAGTGTTCTACTTGGGAGGTGTTCCACTTTTAGAGGTTCATTTAACATTAAGTCAGTTGGGTTTTGGGACTCTGAAAAGTTAATGAAAACACAGAATGAAATCCTGTGCTAAGGGCTGATGTGAAAAAGTCAGTCCACCCCAGTGGGGATCGAACCCACGACACCTCGCTTTCTGGGCAACATACCAGCATTACCTGGTAGGTGCTCCACTTCTAGAGGTATTCCACTTTACAGGTCATTGTACTTGCAAAACACAAAGATGTGATGAGAGTCGGAATACTTTATATTGCACCTGATCATATGTTTTGTGAACTGTTCAACGACTTTCAATAGAGAGATGTTTTCAAATATTTCTCTTTGGAGTTCATACGTCATTGTTTGAAGCACCAATTCTAAGCTAGTACATTTACCTTTTATTCAGGTGTTATCGAACTTCTTTCTTCTCAATTCAATATACAATATTTGATACTATTATGAATTTGTAGCAAGTTCTTTATTTCATTCATCAATCATATTTTTTCATATTGTAGTCAACATAATACTGTATAATAGGCATCAATGGCATTTAAGGATACATTTGTATTATAATCTTCAAAAAAGTGAGTGATGTACCATTAGAAAGTTGACATTCTTAACATTTGATACTATATTGTGAGTTGCCAAGCTAGTAGAATACCTCTGAAAAGGGATCATTCCCACCATCAAATACCACAGTTGAATATATCCTTCAGACCCACACCGGTCATACTGTCTGTACATGGTATATCAGGGTCACATTCTAATACACTATTGTACCATTGAAAAGCTGATATTTTATACCACTATATATTTTATAGCATATATATATCAATCAGAACACTCAGTGATTATATACCATTAGAAAGCTGCTGAGTTTCCCATCACCTGGGAAGAATTAATCGCTTTATAGCAGCCAGTGTGTTGTATTAAACTTCAGTTAATCTGATTTTGATAATATGTGATAAGAATATAACTTTATGCCTTGATCAAGTCACCTTATAAATGGTTTAACATTCTTTCTTGCTTATAAATATGGCAGGTTCATGCCTGCAATCAAAGCTAGGATTTATAAGAGAATTGTTTGACTTCAGAGAAAATGGAAGAATTTTAAGGAAAATGAAGGAAAATTGTTCCATATTTGAATTTGTTTGTTAAATCTTTATACGTATAATTTACAGCAAATGTATTATTAAATCTAATATGGAATCTAAAGTTTTTACTTAACCATTTATTTCTATAAAGTGCTAAATCTGTATTTTGTGATATATCCTATTTGCAGGGTGTAAACAGATTTTCAAAAAAAATATTTTAAATAATTTTTCAACGGGGTTTAGAACCTGGTTTCTTTAATATTAGGGGAAGAATTAGAATTAGAATATTGCAAAAGACCTGAGTGAGATTTCTTCCCTGAGAGTAAATTCTGGCATTTGGCCACTAGAGAAATTCTCCAAACATTCCTCAATATGTTGCCCTTATAAACAATCCAATCCTACTATCTCAATAAGAAACATGTGAATGAGAAATCACAAGAAGCCCATGAGGTTTGAACCCAAAATTTTGGGGTAAAAACTCATTATTGTCTCATTCTCAATACAGATCCCATGGGCCACGGCCACATCCACAGCTCCAAAAGTTGTTTTTCAGCCACAGTGTTTAGAAGG